AAACTAAATTTTGCTAATTTGGCTTTTAAAATCTTTTCTAAAATGACCTGCCAAAGACAGCAAATTTTGGTTCTGCACATCGTTTTGGCTGTCAGATACGTTGGGAAACTTAAAAAACTAACCTCTAACAGACTATTTATGGGAGTGGCTTGCATTCTTTAACATAGATGGGGGGGTTATTTTTTTTTTTTTCATAGGTTAAACAGCTAAGTAATTTAATTGGCATTAACAATTCTACTAATGTGAACTTCTTCTATGGGGGAAAATGAACAGCACTCCCCCACCCTCCCTTTGGATAAGATGGTATGAAGATTTATAGCATCTATACCTTTTTTGGAGAAGTGGTGCATATCTATATATTCTGCTGAGGAAAGTGAAGTGAGTGCTCCTTTTGGCTTGAATGTTAGACCTGACCTTGCGAATTTCCAGTAGTGACTTTGGTAGTTTATTTTTTCCTGGTAGTACAATTTCTGTCTGAATTACCTTATTGTTTCAGACATACAATACTAATAAATAAACTTAACTCACATTTGCTTTCTGTATTCTGAATACCATTAAAAATCGGGAGGTCATTGCACAAGTGAATCCACGTTGTGTTCTTTGTGGAGTTCTTTTGTTCAAAAGAACATTAAAACTCACCTGTTTCTGTTTTGAAATTGCTGTGCTCTGGTTGTTACCCAAGGGATCTTTGTGTAAGTCTTCTTTTGAGTATGTAGAGCTCAGTTCTGTGGTCAAATGAAAAAAATGAATGTGTGTAGCCTTTAGCTGTTTTCAAATTATTTCTTCCCTTTAGCAGCTCAGTTCTGCAATGTTTAATGCTATCTTAGAACAACCAGAATTTCTGTCAGCGAATAGGGGCAGGAATGAACTTCATGGACCTGAATGTGGTTGATATTGGGCACATATGTAAATTTTACCTATTCTAATCTCATTTTATGAAGGTGCCTTTTAATTTTTTAAATACGAAATCAATAGCTATTTGGTAAGTATGGCCCCTTGAATTCAGAGCTCAAACTGGGAAGGACTGTAGTATATTGTTGCTCTATTAAGCCGTCAGGTTCTGTTTTACTGTCTGCCTTTAGGTGTAACTGAAGGAAAAGTAACAGGAATTCAAACTTATAAGTATCTGACTAAATGCAACTGCAGCCAGCTTATTTGAATGGAGATCAGTGGAGTTGTGGAGTGCCAAATGTTTATTGTTAAGTTTATGGCAGTGAAGAGCTGTAACAGGCACTCTGGAAGTCACTGAGCAATTAATCTGTGCAGTCTCTGAAAAGTAGCTATGTAGTAATGTAATGATGCAGTGAATTAACCGATTTGCTGAACAACACAACAGCAGGAGCTCAAGTTCAGCAGCTCTGAACTACAATGAATACTGCACCTCCAGATCAGAGCCTGAAACTGAATGGTAATTCAAAGTGCCTTGGAGTCCAGTCTTGTTAAAGAGCCACTTGAGGGAGTTGTCAGAATCAACAGGTGACTGATGAGGCTGCCAAGGAGACCCTTCTAACCTGTGGAAATAACCACATGAAAGAATGGATGAAATATAAGCTGGTATTGTAGGTTTTCAGAGTGACACTAGACTTCTGAACTGTTTGTCTGGAGATGGAATGCGTTGGCAGTGTCATCCTTGTCTTGCCGGGTGTGAGTCAACTTCTCTATAGGGCATACTTTGATTTATACTTCCTTTGGAAACGCACTGTTTTACAGAAATCACACCTGAAAGCATATTGAATTTCATCTGATACTGCAAACTGCGTATGCCCAGGTCTGTGCCTTTTTTCAGGTGTATCAGGGCCCAGCAATATCTGTCTGCAAAGCCTAGTCAGGATACAGCTCTGCAATTAGCATGTGGGATTGAGAAAGAGGAAGGCTCTATTAGTGCAAGGCAGTCAGAAGATAGAGGCGATGTGCTTGTAGTTCTGGCACAGACATGAAGTTGCATTTTAACTGTTCAGTGACAGATTGTGCTATGAAAAGTTCACAGTAACTGCGTAACAGCTCAATTGGTACAGCTGATGTACTAATCTGAGTCTGAAACATGCTGTGGCCTTTCCTGGCCTGTTCCTTTCTTGGTTCAGTTGGGATCAGCCATTCTGGAGTTAGTGGGCATTGTGTGGAGGGTGCAGATGACTCCAGACTACCTGGGGAGACAGAACTGAGCGCCAGGCCAAAGTTTATGCTTGCTGTACATGTGTCTTTTCCCTCTCTGTTTTTCTGCCTTGGCTTTTCCTTCAGTAATACAGAATAATGCATCCTAAATGACACTATAAAATGTCATTAAAATATATGCAGGTAGTTTTCACTAATTTTCTGAAATTATAACATGTATTATTTTTTTTTTTCCTTTCTGTAAAAATCTAAATGTTTAATAAAACTTGTGTTTTATACATCTGTTTCATGTATTATTTGAGTAAAAGTAATGATAACTTGGCAGGACATCCATAGTATGTTGTCTCTGTTTACTGAATGTTTAACAACTGTGGTGTAGTAATCTCTTTTTCAAAGGCCAGCTGGGGAAACGATAATACTGTTACCAGTGTGAAACCTGTGCATACAAAAATGCTTGTGCCTATATTTATATACCATATGTTCACACAGGAGAATGGGATGGTAGGATTGAATGGTTGTAATGCAAGGAAAAGAACTGCAGTGAATATATATGTAACGGGGGGAAGACATTGAGTAAGTATGTTTGTTTCAGAGGTCAGTATGAGGTAAGAGCTACTTGAAATGACAGCAGCAACGCAGGTTGTGAAATCTGTTTTATTGCTGCTTATAGTTTATACTTTGAGGGAGGCTTTGTGGTGTGGTGTTCATGTGTGTGGATTTATAGGAGTCTGAAGTGAAAGGTCTGCCTTGATCTGAAGTTACAACTGTATTTTCAGCAGGGATTTGCTGAGTGAAGGGAAAGCAGAGGAGGTGACTCTTGCGCACTGTTAGAATGAGCCAGCATGGTGCACAGTTTTCTGCAGCTGTGCAGGTCCTTCCCGCTCTGTTTGGGTGCTTTCTGTCTCTACGTCCTGATTCTTCTCTACTGATATTAATGTGAATTGGTGGGCTTAGATCATAGAATCATAGATTAGTTAGGGTTGGAAAGGACCTTATGATCCTGCCATGGGCAGGGACACACCACACTAAACCATGTCACCCAAGGCTCTGTCCAACCTGGCCTTGAACACTGCCAGGGATGAAGCATTCACAACTTCCCTGGGCAACCCATTCCAGTGCCCCACCACCCTTACAGTAAAAAACTCCTTCCTTATATCCAATCTAAACTTTCCCTGTTTAAATCTTATGCCGTTACCCCTTCTCCTATCACTACAGTCCCTAATGAAGAGTCTCTCTCCAGCATCCTTATAGGCGCCCTTCAGATACTGGAAGGCTGCTATGAGGTCTCCATGCAGCTTCTCTTCTCCAAGCTGAACAGCCCCATCTTTCTCAGCCTATCATCTTTTTCAGGTGGATATTCAGACACACTGCTAGGAATCTAAGTGAGACTTTGGATGGTAAGAGGATTAGAGTTATCGGAAGGAGCTTTTGGTTTCTGATCATTTATGGTCATGTCATGAATTTATTTTAGAAGTTTGCATCTGAATTTAGGGGCCTTGACCAAGCAGATACGCAAATCTTAGGAGATATTTTCATGGTTTGAAAGGGTGGCTGAGACCTGGAGGTTGAGATGTGTAAAGGTCTATCTTGAAGATAATTACACGTGGAAAAGTAAGTTTAAGAAAAATGCTTGTGTCCTACGATTGGTTTTGGTTAACCTTTGAGGTCCCATTTTTCCAATGTAAGTTGTTTAATGACTGGGAGAAAGGAGTGTCTGGTGGAAAGTTTGGCTTGGGATACTTTGCAGAGAATAAGAAATTTCAAGATGAATCAATGTTTTATTATCAGGACTTTACTGATGAACTTCCTTGCTTGTCTGTCCCTCGTTTCCATGTTGGCATCAAAGAAACCCAGCATTACACAGGCTGGAGCTTTAACCAGTGTTGAGCTCTCACTCGTTGGTAGCAGAGCTGCTTTTTCATTATGTTATTAACTGTCTTCTGTTTCTGATGAGGTGCTTATTTAAAACGGGTTATATTGTGGCATTCTTAAATGCATAGACAGAAACCCTCAGCTATTTTCCTTGGATCTTTCTAAGTCTGATAAACACATTGCACGAGCAGCCATGAAATATTTTTTTTCATCCTGTAGCTCATAAGTCAAGGCTGTCCGAAAGTGGGAAGAGCTGTTTATTTGTCTGGTCCACAGGCAGAACAAAACCACTTCCTCAGTTTTTCTAATAAGTATCTTATCTTGAGAGTGCACATATTTCTATTTCAGTGCTGCCTCACTCCTGTTGTGTAGGCCATGTAGCAAGGGTTTGTTGAAAAGGGAGCTGCCTTGAGAAAGAATGTGCTTGTGCAGTGCTCCCAATCTGCTCTGCTCTAATACGTACTTGTGTTCTGTAGAAAGCAGCAAGTTGAAAGTGGTACAACACGTTATGTTAACGCCAAAGAGATCTCTGTCATTTATCCAGGAAAAAACTGAAATGTTTTAATTATTAGGCTGGGTTTTTCTCTTTATATTACTACTTCAAATATTTTTCTTACAAGTGCCACTGACTATACTAGCTGACTAGCTGACAAGATCTATCTAAGATCTGATGCATAATTTTTAGGTGGGTAAATTGGAAGTTGTGTCTTTTCTTTTTTGTCCCTGAAACGTTGTCATGGCAATTGGAAATCTCTTGCTTGAAGTATATGCCATTTGTGAAATCTTGTCTTCTGTAACCTGAAGGGGCCATGTGTATACACTTTGTCTGTGGATAATTGGTGACAGTGAAATGATAAAGCTGGGGTAATTTGCATTTCTTGACCAATAAAAATCTCTAAGTTTATATACAGAGGTATTTCATATATGTATGCATGCTTTGAGTTCTTCATCTTACTGTATCAGGCTCTGTTGGAATGTAAGTGCAGTTTAACTGACTGAATGTTGTTCCCTTTCAGTGGATCTGTTGGAAATAAAAGAAATTCGCCCAGGAAAGAATTCAAAGGACTTTGAGCGTTGCAAAGCGAAACAAAGAGAAGAACACTGCTTTACTATTTTTTATGGTACCCAGTTTGTCCTCAACACCTTAAGTTTAGCAGGTACTTTTTTTCTTGTTTCTTCTTTAAACCTACCAATAGAACAAATCAAGTACATTGATGGAACAATAATGCAGAGAGGGCTGTGGTTTTGACTTGTGCAGTTCAGGAGTGCACCACGTGTTTAAAGTCTGGAGATACACCTTTTACTCGGCCCTTCACATCCATGAACTGTTGCATTTCTAATGTCTTAGAATCATAGAACAGAATCATAGAATAGTCAGGGTTGGAAAGGACCTTAAGATCATCTAGTTCCAACTCCCCTGCCATGGGCAGGGAACACCACTTCCTTTCAGACAGTGTATTGTGTGAGTGTAGTTTCTGATTTGCACAGTCATTTCTAGCAAGGTAGACTTTGCTGGTTAAATATCTCCAATAAACTTGTCAACATATCAGCAATGCATTTGCTGTTGTTTTCAGTTGGCCAGAATATTGCCCTGGCGTTTTCAGTCTGGCCAAAATGGTTCTGGAAACAATAGTCATGAGTTATAATACAGCTGTATCACAGAAACTTTCCTGTCGCTTATGAACAACTGGAAACTAATTGAGAAAAATGAAGTTCTAGTTTGAGGTGTGTGCATAATACTAATCACCTAGTAATACTAAACCTCTTCTAAAAGAGGTTTACTAGGGGACCATAAGTAAAAGTGGAAGGTGATAAACTGAAAATGAAGAGTTCTCTGTGAAACAGGGAAGTTGATCCTGTATGTAGGGAAAGGGTTGGGGCACTTCTTACTTCAGGTGAGATTACCACCCCACACAACCCCAAAATTTTAATTTTGAAATTAAAAAGGATATGAGTTCTTACAGTGCAGGCTGAATACAGTTTTCTACTAATGGAGTTTACTAGAGTATCTTCTAAATAGTTGTGATGGATCCTCTATTTAGAATCATACAGCCCATTTATTTGAAGGGGCGTGTTGCTGCACAGGACAGTGGGAGCTACTTATCATTTAAATAGTTAAATTAATTGCAAAATCTTAATGGGGGAGAAAAGGGGAGTGTTTTGTAAGTGTTTTAATGCTCAAATTGCCTTTTTAAAATTGAATTAATAGATTGCAGTACTAGAAGACTTTCTTTTTGCAGTCTGATGCATTGGAAATTAAAGACTGCTCATGACTAATCCACCGTTGTAGGCTTTTCACTTTAAATAAATTTTACCATTGTTGGCTGAAGTCTGTGAAGATTTTCAGTAAGTGGCTGTGGTTAAATGCAACTGTGCCAGGTTGACTTCCCCTAACCTCCATCTCCATCCCTCTTCCATGGCTGTTCTCAAAACAGGCCTCTGACAGCGCTTTGGAAACACTTGGTGCCGTGAGACATGTTGCTGTAATGCTGAACTGCAGAACAACGTGTTATAACTTTCAACTAAGGGGGAAATCAGCAAGGAAAAGGAAGTGTTTTGTCGTGGTTTCTTAAAACAATATAAAATAATTGCTACTTAAGGGGAATGGTAGCTGTCATAAAGGGCAGAATTGTCTTGGGAGCAGAATTGGTTTGGCAGTTGTAGCGAGTGTTCTTTCCGAAATTGTAACAAACTGGAAAACATTTCCATGGGGAGCTGAGGCTAGGCTCTAGCTTCATCCTTGGGGAATAAAGCATTGTTTGAAAGTATGTTTAAATAAAATGTAACCTTCATCTTTTGAGAAACTGTTTTGCTTTGAAGGCAGTTAAAAGAATTGCACAGATTACAGTTCCTGCTGAAAATAATTTTTCAGAACTGGTTTAATTGAAAATGCCTTCATGAAATTTTAGAACCAGCATGCTAAAGAGAATGGACTTTCCCAGCTGAAGGCTGTAATGACAGCATCTCATCTAAGGGCCCAAAAGGTGGTTTCAGCTTAACTGTGGTATTCCTCAGGGAAGGCTATACCCAGCACACCAAGTTCATCATCTTGGTTGTGTTAGGTCAAAGCAGTATCAAATGTGATCACATTAAATGATGTGGAGGACTCTTCTGGTTTGGGAAATGAAAAAGCAAATTATACCTAAAAAACCCAAGGCAGTGATAAACTGATTTGTAAGGTTGGGAGGAAGATGTATCTGGCTTCCGGTGTTTGGCTGGGTAAAGAATTTTAGACCTTTTTTAAACTTGTATTAAATGTGTTCTATAAGCTACACCAGTTTTGTACATTGCTTCCTTCCTCTTCCTCTTGCCTAAGTGTAGTCTGGAACAATTTGTGTTTAAAGGCAAGGTTAGGACAGACATGAAGTGGTTGTCGATCAAAAGCCAGTACTTTACAATTTATTTGTTGGTTGCTTGGAATATAATGAACTAGCTTTATGCTACACCACACTGAGTTCTGCTGTGTGCTTCAAGCTGCTTTACATCTAGGTCCCTGGGCTTTTGGCACCTGGGAGGTAGGAGAAAAGAAAATGAATTTGACTGTGTTACTGCAGGAGCTCACCAGCACTTCTGTAGTCTCTGTGCTGAAATACTGAAACTTGCATACCCTGAGAAACAGACTTCTAAAAGAAGGTCTTTTTCTTGTCAGAGCTTCCAGAGTTAACATCCTACCCCCAAATTTATGCTGTTTTTATTAATTTTATCATTAGCGATGTGAAGCTATGCAATGAGATTTATTAAAGAGAAAGATTCATCAACCACTTTACATACTAGGGTTTGTCTAAACATCCCAAGTTTGTGCCTTGGTTTTGTGTTGATTTTGTTTCAACATTTCTCATAGCGTATTATTTTTTTCAGCTGACTCTAAAGATGATGCTGATAAATGGCTGTGTGGCTTGAATATCTTGTATCAAGAGGTCATTAGTGCTCCCACACCTGCGATCACGGAGAGGTATGTGGACATGTTTTCAATTCATGAGACTTGACGTTTCTTTGGAATTGGAAGTGGAAAATCTGAAAGAAACAACTACTCTCCAGTTACCGTACGACACAGAAAAGCTCATGTGTAAATTCATTGTCTATTTTGCTATATATGTGTTCTGGAATGCCACTCTGCTCCATCCACTAATGCAGACTTGCAATTTACTTTACTTTGTATACCTACACCAAACCAAAAGTCTCTCAATGAGATCACAAAAATAGCTGGTGTTAGTGTGCATTGACTTCTTGAAAAATTGAAGTGTCTTATGCAGTCACAGTAGGCTTGCTTTAGTAGATGTCCAAATGCATTGTATGGCAATGTGACCAGCTGACTCAGAGAGCCAGGTTGAAAATGAGCTTTTTTTTGAGGCTATCTTTTTTAGCATCCAGCCATATGATGGTGGAACTGCGCCCTTAATGCTTCATAGGAAGTTGCACGTGAAACTACTTATGCTGAGAGTGCCAGTTTTGTTGAAGGGCTCTTTAACACTATCTCTGTACCTGATCGCTTTTTATCACTGCTGACATTTTTGTTTGTGGTCACTGCTTTTACTTGTTGTGAGGATATACCCTGTTCTTGCTTGCTACTTGACCAGTTTTGGCTTTGACATTGATATTATCTTTACCTGCTTGCTGTTCCAGCTGGGGAGACAGTATTCTTATCTATTCTCATCTACTCCATGGTAATGCAGCAGGCTACTATAAAAAGTGCTAGTGGGTTCCAGGCTGTGTTTGTGTAGCAGAGTGATTCCTGTAGAGGCTGAGGATAAGCTTTACTAGTGACATTTTAGATCAAAATTGTGTATATGCATGTCTGTGTATTTACTGTTAATGCTGCTAATAGTATTTTGCTGTGCACCTAATAGGGACACACACTCTAATGAGGATTTTCTTTAGGATTCTCTAAACTCCTTCCCTCCTTATTGTTAATTTTTATTCATCTAACATATCTTTGAGCCAGCAGCCTCAGCTGGCATAAATCTTGACTTGATGGAGTTACTCTATATTAGCTGAAGTTTTGTCTTGCTTTACCACTTAGATTTTTACAGCTTCTGGTTGCTCGTTTGCTTCTATCCTGCCCACCCTTCCTGTGTTGTTTATGTGGCTTTAAAAAGTATTAAGCAGAAAAGTATATATTTACAAAGACTTGTTATAAAAGTGGCTGAATCATTAGATGCTACACTGGAAATGTTTTGCTTTATTATAGAGATGTATCTTATGACTCTTAAGTATTTCCATTGAATTTCCTCTGTGGATTTTGGTATTCATTGGCTGTGTTTTCTTTATAATTCTTAGATTAAACCTTTTTTCTTTTTTCCCTCTTTTCCACAAGCTGGCTGAGAAAGCAGATCTATTCTGTTGATCAAACTAGAAGGAACAGGTAAGAAGCTCTCTCTTTGTTCAGTATGTTTTTAGTGAACTTTTGTTGCAGGCTCTAACATGAATGAAAAGCAATAAATATTTTTTGTCTAATATGTGAAATAAGAGCCCTGAAAATAGTATTTGCTCTTGCTTTAACAACTTGAGTTTTGCCTTTTGCTAAACACAGTGTGTTCATAGCACTCACTCATGTTCATGCATGTGGTATAATGAAGCAAATGATGAAAAATATATAGTTTTGTTTTTTTGCCTAGAATTAACGTGCCAGAATGAGAGAAGGGAGTTGTCTTCTTCCAGTCTTACTGTAGAGATTAAGCTCATCTGTGCAGGCATGTTAGTTTGTTTGCTTCATAGAGGTCTTTGCCCTTTCTCAGCCAAGTTGGAGCCCAGCAGGTTGGACTGTATAACCTGCTGTGAGCATTCCTGTGCAGCTGTGCCGCCAGTTCTTCCTTCATTACTGAACCATGTGTGCATTGGAGTGACTACATTCTAATGTAGACAGATAGGAACCAGCTTTTAAAAGCTTGTTTGGGCATTCATAACAATGAAAGTGCATAAGCAACGTTCAACATGGGCTGCCAAAGATCATGGCAGATGTTTTAGTAATTAGCCTTGTTTCAGTCCTAGCATGGCCTGAACATGGCTGGTATGCATGGTATCTAGCTTGAAACTGGTCACAGCAGCAGTGTCAGATATATCCAGAGACAGGGTTGTCCCAGCAATAACTTGAATTCTTTCCTTCAGGAGTCAGAGCTTTGAGGAGAACAGAACAGAATATTAAGAGGAAGAGGAGATTGAAGAAATAACTGAGGATATTAGGGAAGAGGAGAAGGAGGCTACTGGTATACAGAAGATACATTGAGGGTACAGATAGAAGGAAGCCAAGTTAATGGTTTAGAATAAGGGCAAAATATTTATTTATTTATTTATCTTTAAGCAGTTGGCCTGGCTAAATGGGTTTGTCTCTTTCCCACATATTCAAGCACAATATTAGAATAGTCAAGTCAAAGAATCACCTCTGACCTGGTGCTTCTCATGTGAAGGAAGTCCCATGGGTTATAGCTCCCAGTGTGCTGTGCAGCTGCATATGTTTGCGTTTCAGTAGTTTGCTTCAGGTCCGTGTGTGATGTGGGTTTGTAGCTCTTCGAACAGCGAAGGAGACTTGCTTTTACCTCAGTGGATTCAGCTGCATACTTCTTAGCATTGCTATCAACCATGCGACACTGGGGAGAGTGTTAGCCCCTCCTCTCTCACATCTGTTACTTTACCATGATTCTGCTCTTTGTCTGCAACATGCATTTTATTCTAAGGTGTAATTCAGTATAGAAAAGTACATGTGTTTCCTCTCATTCAGGCCTTTTCCTAAAAGCAAAATAAAGTATGATATTTCATTGTGTGAATAGGACTGTATTACTGCAGGAAATAACACCATTCTGCAGGCAGCTTGCGGCATTGTGCACCTGGCTTTAGTGTGAGCTGAGGAGCCATTTCAAAGCAGTGTTTCCTAAACTGGCCAGAATGGTGAAGGCGCAAGTACCATCCTTTTATGGGATATTGGCTTATACCTCCTGATGTATTGGAAAACTAGCCCTGCAGTAGGGACATGTTGGTGGGGATCATGAAGCAAAAGCTAATCTTAGGGTAGAGCAGTGACTGACAGTATGGGTCTACTGAAAGGGTTTCATTTGTTGCTTTAGCATTGTTTCAGCACTACCAGGCAGTCCAGTTAGGATCAAGGGGGGCTTGCACTGTGTGGAGGGCAGTTTTCTGTTCTCTTGATAGGTGATTCATGCTTTCAGAAAAATTCAGGAAAGGAGTTTGTGCTGAGTTTCATTGTGTTTAGTGTTGCAGTTTCTAGGGAGGTTAATTGTAAAGGTTAGGCTTCCAGGCAAGTCCTGTTTCACAGGCTGAGTTTTTTCCAGTGCTGATGAAGTCCCAGTTCTTTGTTTTGGCTTACACTTGTTTTCCCTGAGGAAATTGCTTGTGCTTGGTGTTTAGGGTACAAACAGAGTGCTCTTTCTTGCTCCTAAAAGCAGTGTTTTTTTTCCAGAGGTCTGGCGACAAGGTGGAAAGCCAGGAATTTCCTGAGTTCTAATCTGGCTTTGGCATGGACTTTGGCTAAGTTCCTTCTTGCTTTGCCTCCTTCCCTCTCTACACAATGGAAATGAGAGTATTTCACAGGGTTGATAGCAGATCTTAGTAGCTGACTAGATACAGCAGGACTCTGGAGTTTTGATATACTTTTTTTCCTTCCCTTATTTTTTCCTCAGTATCAGTCTTAGAGAGCTGAAAACTGTCCTTCCCCAAGTAAACTTCAAAGTGAGCAGCATGAAGTTCTTGAAGGATAAATTTGCGGTAACTACCTGATAACTTCTATCTGTTTGGTGTTATTTCTTTTCAGGATGCAGCCTATATTCTTGCTTCTTACTGTGTATGGTTAAATAAATTATATCAGTTAATTTCTCAGCTTGGCTCTGCCTATATCCAAGGCTATAAGAAAATATAGGCATAAATGTTCCTTCTTTTCATTGTTTGGTTGACCAAAGCCAGCACTGCATTTTCAGCTGATACTGTGCAAGTGCATAGGAAAGTGTTTTATTTTTAAAATTAATATATATAAAAAAAAGAATATTTTGTTTTTTTTTTTCGCAATTTGATCATTCACTCCAACTTGTGCTAATATGAGTAACCTCTGAAAGTCATTTCCATTCCTACAGGAATTTTAAATATCCCCACCTTTTCCTGCTTTCCAACTCTCCACCCTTAAAGCATACATTCTTGCTTCTGTTGCTCCAGCTAACAATGACTAAATGGGGCACTACTTCACTGTTTTTAGTGGAAACAGAATCAGGGTACAAAATGCAAGGCTAAAGATGTGGGCTGGGAGCACTAGGTTACAAACCAACAATATGTTTACTTTTTTGTATTCTTAAAAAAATAACTAAATTAAAAAAATCCTAAGGGGTTAAGACAAATGGAGTAAAATAGAATGCATGAGAGGGTGGCAGCTGGAGTAAGAGTAACTTGTTTACTGTTTGCAAATGCAGTTCGGGGAATTCTAATTTCTCTCTGTGCTGCTTTCTATTGTAGGAAATAGGTGCTCATAAGGAAGAGCTTAGTTTTGAACAGTTTCATTTGTTCTACAAGAAAATCATGTTTGAACAACAGAAATCGGTAAGCTTTTTCATAAGTAGTCTTCAGACTATTAAAGTGCTTGATCAGAATAGAGTTAATGCTGATTATTTTTGTTTCTGTTAGTTACTGATTTCCTTTTCCCCCCATTCTTGTAATAGAAAAAGAGTATAGTCCTGTTCTTGAAGTGTGGATAAGTCACCGTCAGCAATTTGTCTTAAGATAACGACTCAGTTATTTGTGTTGCTTCTTGTGTGTTGGCAGTACAGATATGCACATGTATAATGGGGTTTTTAGGAATAACTTGAAACTGTGCGTTTGTTCAGGATGTAGAGTGTCTTTTAATTGGCTAGCCCTTCTACTGATAGGAACAAGGGTTTTCCATACTTGTGTTAATATTTTTATTGCTAAAACATTCTGTAAATCAGATTTATCCTGAGCATCAAGTAACAACAATTGTTCTCATTTTCTCTCATGCTTGGAGATTATGAGTGGTGAGTCCATTACAAGACATGCATCAGACAGGTCTTGGGAGGTGGGAATTCTGAGGAATAACATTTCAGCAACTGTCTGACTACTCTTTCCATGTATTCATTGCACAGATTCATGAAGCTGGTGGAAACTGCATACGTTTAGTGACTCTGAAAGTCAGGAAGCCTTTAAATCTATGTGAAACGCAGATTTTGAAATTACTTGCATAAATGTCTGTTGATGATGTGCTTGTTGTTGTTCAACTAGTTGTTAAAATAGAAGCTTCAGTAGTCAAAGTCAGTACTGTTTCTTTTGCATACAGCTTTGTTATGCTGTTTAAAAGCAATGCTGAAATTATTGTGAAGTAATAAAGAGTCTCCATTTACTGTCAGGGTTTTAGTTTTGGCCATGAAAGTCTAGTTAATTAGCTTAAGCAGAAAAAGCTGAAGAGTGAAACGCCAAGTAAAGAGGGTATCTGACTTCCTTAAACTCTTGTTATCATCCCTTGTGCATCGTTTCAAAGAAACTCCTCAATTTGCTCAACAACTGCTTTGGGCCAGTTGGTAAGTTTCCTGTGATCTGTAACTATGCTGTGCCAAGCTGGAAGCAATGTAGGTTTTATATTCACGTGAATAAATGTAATGGGTAATAAGTAGTTCCTTCTTTTTTTTTTTGATATCAAACAATAAAAGCTCCCAAGAAACTTAACTTGTCTGTGTATAGAAGGTGTGTTATCAACAGCAAGTTTTTGCCTCAGCATTGCATGTGTTCACACTGAAAGGCCTGAAGTGCAGTTGTCAGCCTTGGCAGTATGTTTCCTATGTGTTTAATTAAAAATGCATCTTGCCAACTTCTGTGAAGCTTCTCTAGAAGAGACAGGCATATATTTCCCCTTCTCAAACCAATGGATATTATTAGATGAAATTAGACAGAAAATTGCATATTGTTTTATTATTTATCTTTTCCCCCTTTGTTGTTTGTTTTAAGATTCTTGATGAATTCAAAAAGGATTCCTCTGTGTTCATTCTTGGGTGAGGCTCTTAATTTGTATTATTTTTCCACATTTCTCTATAACACTGCAGGATTGCCTTTTAATTACATCACTGTTTTTGTGTTCTGCTGCTTTAGTAGGTAAAATGAAATGATACAGCTTTTTGCATACAGGAAGGTGAACTTTGGTACTTAACTCTTCCCAGTTAATCACTTTCAAAAGTACATCAGGAATCCAGGAAGCTTCTTTAAAAGCTCAAAATACAGTAATTAGATAATACAATATTACAATATCCTACTGACATTGTAAAAACTTTCTTGGTGGTGGCAGCACATTTATACTGTAAACCCAAGATATAAATCTGTTGTAATTTTCTGCTATAACATCTGGTGACACTTGCTCTCTTATTTCTTTCCTTCACTTTCCTTTTGTTTTTTTTTTTGGTTTTTTTTTAAGAAATACTGACCGTCCAGATGCCTCAGCAGTTCATCTCCATGACTTCCAGAGATTCCTGCTACGTGAGCAGCAGGTGAGAATGTTGCAGTAATTCCGAGTTCTTTTTCTTGAGGTTGTTGAGCACATTCTGTGTCCATTAAAAAGAAATGTGATGTGTCATAGAATATGATTAATGTCAGCTGTGACACTGGGCCTTACAAATACTTTGTTGCCACTGAAGTTCATAAGAACTATTATTTTTCATTTATGTAAAGACTCTGAAGGTGCACAGGAGGACGAGAGGGAGGACAAAGTAAATAAGGTTTTAACTGATCTCCATTTAGTCATGTAGATAAACAGACAAGGATAGAAATGAACACTAGATGTATGTCAAAGAAGATAGCCTGGCCTAGTTACAGCTGTCATCATAGGTACATCAGGGGTAGTGCCTTGGCCATGGCCTCATTTTAGCAGCTCTTACATAAAAAGCTGAGCTGACTGCCTACTTTCCAGTCAAAGGTGATTTTCTATTGAATGGAGCCAGTTCAATGTCCCATGTCAGCAAGCAAATAAGTATGGATGGAGATTGGAACTGTGTCTTTACAGTCTTCTCTAATGTTATTTAGCATAGACACCATGGGAGAGGATTGTGCATTATTTGTTAGGTGCTGCTACCCTCCAGGTTTGCATATATAATTGAAAAGTGAGACTTACCCTTCCTGTATAAGTTTTCTACTTTCTTTTTCTCTGTATTTCGCTGTATTAAAAGAAAGTTCAGATTGCACTTAGAAATGATAGCGATTATAGTAGTGTGTATTTTGTGGGCCTCAAATCTTTATAAAGGTACTTAGGTGGAGATCTTATTTTTCTCCCTTAGACTTCGCAGAGGAAGTATATTCACGAGTATATTGGCAGTAAATTAGCTAGATAAAGGAGAAGTAAGTCACATTTGTAGGTCTCCCTGTTCCTCATACAGTTTTATATAGAATAACACCACTTCTAAAGGTTTTACTATATTATTATTGTCTGAAGGAATCTTGGGCACACGATCTCAGTAAAGTCCGAGAACGAATGACGAAGTTTATTGATGACACTATGAGAGAAACTGCTGAACCCTTTCTCTTTGTTGATGAGGTAAGATAGTGATACTTCCTAGTAGCTCCTCTTGGACTTTTCTTTCTTGTTAATAGGTTTCTTTTGCTACACTGGATTTCTTCTAGTCTTTTGAGGCAAAAACATTTAAATTCAGTATCTCTCTTTGTATTGTAGTTCCTTACTTACCTTTTTGCAAAAGAAAACAGTATTTGGGATGAGAAATATGATTCAATAGATGTGCAAGACATGAATAATCCTTTGTCTCACTACTGGATTTCTTCCTCTCATAACACGTAAGTTACCAAAAGTCCCATTCTCTATCCCTGTTCAAACAAACCTAGTGTGTGTTAGGAGAAAGTAAATTATGCCAGATATACACTATGTGGGTGTGTGAAACCTTCCAAAAGTGTGATGTAAATGTGGCAAATACAGTCTGTGGGACTTGGTTTTCCCATTTCCTTAAGATCTTAGAGGTTTTGAGATACAACTGAGCTCAGCTGCTAGAAAACCCAAACCCTGTATCCTGTTACAAAAATAAAAAGAAGTCTTGAATTGAAACTGTTCCAGCCTCTCTGCTTTCACAAAGTTACTGAAGGAGTTTCCATTTTTCCAAGCACCAACAGCCTCGTTGAGCTAGTGTCGGCTCTAATTTTACCTGAACATAACAATGCCATAAGGACTCCACTTGTCCTGTGAGAAAATCTGATACTTTTAGAGTGATCTGAAGGGCAGTGGATTTCTTGCCTTGGGAAAAGAGGCAGTCATGTGTGCATGTGTATAGATACTTTGATAGTTTACAGTGTCACAAAGTGGAAAAGATTAGGTCCTGAAAAGGAAAGGAATATGGAGACCTTAAATTAACACATCTACTGATCAGGGACTTGGTTATTTGCCAGCATAAGGATTAGAGCAGAGGTGCCTGAGGCAGAGGAAGAGTACAATTTGCTATCCATGCTCTTTGTTATTTCTAGCTTATTTTACAGTCAGAACTTCAAAGGCCTTTTTATATTGTCACTGGTTTTAGAATTTTGTGCTTAGTAACTTAGATGCTGGTTTCTGTAGTTTGTGTTTAAAGGTATGTATCTGTCCCTTTTCCTTGGCAGTCTATAGTATGCAAGCTCTTTAGCCCAAGTACAAACCTATGTGGTTATGAATTTGGACTATCTTCAGATGAAGGAGATCTGCTCATGTAACACTGTAATAAAAAGAAAGAAGGTGTAAAGAAAGGGAAGAGAGATGAACAAATAAAATATTGCAGGGAATGAAATAAAGTGTATATGGATATAGCTTATAGGTATATTTTGAAGTATAGGGTGGGTATCACTCTAAATACCCTCCACATCCCTCCAACATGATTATGCCTCAGCATGATGAGGTTTAGGTAAGTTTCAGAGCTCATGATTTCCTCTCCAGAAATGTGTCAGCACTGGTTGATGCTTAGATTGAGCCTTTAGCTGCCTATAAGTTGGTGCATTCAAAAATATGCTAGCATCAAGTTCAGCAGAGTTCAATTCTTCCATCACAAGTAAAAAAGAAAGTGATAATAATAAAGAAAAAATCAGCATGCACTGTCTATGACAAGAGAAAAAATGTTGTGAGTGAGTGAGTGGGAAATGGTTGGAATTGACTGCCTGTCTTCTACAATTTCCTTTTACTCCTTAGGTATCTGACAGGAGACCAGCTTCGAAGTGAATCCTCCACAGAAGCTTATGTCAGGTGCCTTAGAATGGGCTGTCGATGTATTGAGTGTGAGTAGAGACTTTGTGGAGTGGTTTGTAACTTGCTGCCCATACAAGCAGAGTTTCCCCTGTTTACCAAGAAAGAAAAAAGAATTGAAATCAAGAACTAGTTTGTTTTCTGAAGCTGAAGTTAGTCATATAAAAAGCACTGATTCCCTAAATTGTTTTTCATATGCCTCACTGTTGCCCCAATCATGTGCTGTGGTTCTTGTTCCCTTGGAATTTTAAGAGTGTATTTATAAATCTTATTTCACTGTACACTGAAACAGTCTTGGCTCTTGGACTTGAACTGGAATCACTTGTGTAGCTTAGATAAGTTTGTCTTCATTGTAATACAGACAAGCCTAATGCACAGAGATTGTAATTTGGTGCCATTTGCCATCGTGTTCAGCTTGCTTGTAAATCAGTTGATGTCTTGTGTATTTGTTTTCCACCAACTGTATATGCATCTTCATCCCTGTACCTTATTGAAAAGTTTTAATTTTGTGTTATTTCACAACCTACTTGCTACTGCCTGTTCAATTTGGCTAATGCAAATGTATCTCAAATTAGTTTCAGGTTTAAAAATGACAAAAGACATAAACTTTCTACTTGCCACTTTTTGAGTGTATTTATCCCTGGATAATTATTGTGAGCTAGTATGCTGACAATATAGCTACCTGAATTCCTTATTCCCAGATTCCAATATGGTAATGCTTTGGGAAAATTTTATATTGTATTTGATTTATATTGCTCTTACTTAACTGAGCTTAATTTCCTCTGTGAGAAATAGAAATTAATCTATTCGAATATTTTATTAGAACATGAAAATCTCTGACTCAGAATGTGCAACACCAAAGATTTGGGTGTTTCTATGTAGTAGAATTATTTAGGTAACTGCTTAATCTCTTCCTTTTTCAATTGCTTGTCTTTCCTAGTGGATTGCTGGGATGGTCCTGATGGAAAACCCATCATTTACCATGGATGGACACGGACAACAAAGATCAAATTTGATGATGTAGTACAGGCAATCAAAGATCATGCCTTTGTTGCATCTGAGTAAGCTTTGATTCATTTTCCTTAAGCCTGTTTTCATACACTTAGAACTTTCTGAACTTTTTCTATTCTAAAGCAAAAAAGTAATAGCAGAATAATGACATTCCAGTAGTTTTCATTATTGCCAAATGTGGGTCTTTAATAGATTCTGTTTTGAGGAAAATTCCTATTACGTAACAATTTTCTCATCAGGAAGACAGTGAGGGCCCTAAAGCTATCTCCTTGCTTGGGTCTTTTGTTAAACTGATGTGTGAAACATGCTGAAGGTTATGTCTTTTTAATGATAAAGCACTACAAGTGACAAAGTAAAGTCTGTCAGGTGATGTTTATGTTCTCAGGGAGGTCTTAGCTGAGACAATGTAGAATTCAAAGCATGCCTCCTGAACTGATAACCTGGGTTTAAATCTGCGTCTCTGCTTTGCCTGTCTATAACTTGCACTGAGATATCTTTAGCATGAAAAAAAACACTGCCTAAAAATTGGGAAAGAGATAAGGCTGTGGTGTCCTATTTTTCCACTTTACCAGCTATACATAGAGAAGTGTTATTTTGTCACATGGGACAGTGTCTGCACAGGCATATTGTGTTAATGACAGCCGTAATATATGATGCGTTATGGATTCAGACCCATCAGTATTATGAATGCTGTGTGATGCTTTCCCTACTTGCATTAAGGGATATGCTACCCAGAAGGAATATTGAAATATTTCCTGGATACAGAGACAACATTAGAAAAGCCAAAGCTCATCCAGAGATGAAATTGCTGAGGGCTATGAAGGACAGCAAGAAAGACTTCTGCAGTTACAATTGCAACAAAAGGAAGCTGAAGAAAAATGTGAGCCTGCTACTGAGTTGGACAGGAGACTTAGTGACTGGAGAAAGCTGAAGTATTTGATGCTTTCTCTGCCTCAGATTTCAGTACTGGGGCCAGAGCACATGGTAGCCAAGGGAAGTTCACAGAAGTAAGCTTGTTTAGGTTCAAGAAGAGGTTAATGAGGGAGTCTGGCTGCTGCCTTCCACTACCTAGTGGATGATTGTAGGGAAGATGGAGCCAGACTTTTCTCAGAATGCATGTGAAGGAAAACAGACACTATTTTAAGCAGAGATGAAATGAATTGTCACATAATGGTGCTTTTAGCCCTGAAACTGTGTCTGAAATGCTTGGAAAGAATCGTTGTTCTTGCAGATACTCAAATCTTGGCTGAACAAAACTCTGAGCAACCTGATCCAACCTAGTAACTGGTCCTTCCCAAAGAAAGGGTTTTGACTGGATGGCCTCCAGAGGTCCCATCTGACCTTAATAATTCTTTGATTGCACATCTGTTACTAACTGTTGTGTGTCTGTTCCTTTTGTCTTCTTGCTTGTTCTAAATATTTTCTTTGACGGGGTGAGGGAGGCTGTGTTTTTGCTTGCCTTACCAGTGGTAGCAAAAAGAAATTGTCTTCATTGACCTTTGTTTTCTCCATCAAAGATACCCACTCATTCTGTCAATTGAAGAGCACTGTAGCGTGGAGCAGCAGCGACACATGGCCAAAGTGTTCAAGGAGGTATTTGGGGATCAGCTTTTAATGAAGCCTGTTGAAGCCAGTGCAGATCAGCTACCATCACCAACCCAGCTGAAAGAAAAAATCATCATCAAGGTAGGCTCACTTTGTGTGCTTGTAGGTAAAACAAGAAAACAAGAGCAGGAGCCAGAAATACTACTTCTGGCTTCACAGCTTAGCTGTTCGTTTCTGTTGACAGACAACAAACCCCATGCTTTAGGTGTGTACTAGGAACATTCTGCAGTATTGCACAGAATTCTGTAAAACTGCATATTAAAGTGCTTGCTATTGGTTTTCTTTGAATAAGTGTTGCTAGTTCAAGTGCCAGATTGAATGTCAGCTCTTTCCTAAAGGTCTTCCAGCTCCTGAAATGTTGTTGCTAAAATTTCAGGAAGGATTCACTGCTGCAGGTGCTTGTCATGATCTTACACAGTGTGGTCTGCTTAAAGACGAGTGAACTATGTTCTTTAATAGAAAGTTAATTAGTATTATTAACTTTTTTTTTCCCCCCAAATAGTGCCTCTCATTAAAATAAAACCCATAGTACTTGCAGGTTGCACAATTAAGTTGTCAGAATTACTTGCAAGCTACAAAAGTTAATGGATGTTTACTAGCTCAGTGTGATTTGTGAATCTGATAAAGTTCAACAAGACCAATTGCAAGGTCCTGCACCTGGGTTGGGGCAGTCCCAAGCAGAAGTACAGGCTGGATTGAGAGCAGCCCTGAGGAGAAGGAATTGGGGGTGCTGATTCACAAGAAGCTCAATATAACCTAGCAGTGTGTACATGCAGCCCAGAAAGCCAAACGCGTCCTGGGCTGCATCAAAAGGAGTGTGACCAGCAGGTCCAGGGAGGGAATTCTCCCCTTCTACTCTGTTCTCACAAGACCCCACCTGGATTACAGCATTCAGCTCTGGGGTCCCCAGCATAAGAAGGACATCAACCTGTTGGTCCATGATGATGCTCAAAGGACTGGAGCATCTCTCCTGTGAAAGCAGGCTGAAGAGAGTTGGGTTGCTCAGCCTGGAGAAGGGAAAGCTTCAGGGAGACCTTAGAACATCTTCCCATACCGAAAGGGGCCTACAAGGAAGCTGGGGAGGGACTTTTTACAAGGGCCTGTAATGATAGGACAAGGGGGAATCACTTTACACTGGCACAGGGGAGATTTAGATTAGACATTAAGAAGAAGCTCTTCCCTGTGAGGGTGGTGAGGCACTGGCACAGGTTGCCCAGAGAAGCTGTGGCTGCCCCATCCCTGGCAGTGTTCAAGGCCAGGTTGGATGGGGCTTGGAGCAACCTGGGGAAGGGAAGGTGTCCCGGTCCACGGCAGGGGTTGGAACTGCGTGAGCTTTAAGCTCCCTTCCAACCCAGACCATTCTATGATTATATTTAAATACGCAATTTATGAACCACTTGTGAAACACACGGGTGCTCCTGTTAGAGGGCAGTCACTGTTAGACTGTCTAGGCAATACAGATGTTTTACTCAGTGCTGTTGTGTTGCAACATAAGGCAGATAACCAAATAAAGGTCTCTCAGTTTGAAAGCTTTAGTAGAACTTTTCACAAAGCAAAAGTCAGGTGGAATGTGTGGGCTGCTCATGATTTCTTTAGTAAAATAATAATTACTTTTGTCTCTGCTTCTGTTCCCCAGCTTTTATAACAGTACTGCATCCTGGTTATCAAACTTCTGAACAGATGAAATAAGGGTAGATATAAGCATACAGCTCTTAAAGTAGCTCTTAAATCTGCCTCTTAAAGTATGACTGGAAATAATAGCACCCCACTATAAGGTACAAAAGTTCTGTGCGTAAGGTTTTGGTTTTTTCCCCTCCAATCTGTCTGTTGTTACCTTGCAGAGCATAGAGGGGAGTTGGATAGGCACATGAATAATAACATGACAGATCTGATTTAAAGGGAATTACAAACTAATATGAGTCTTCACAAGAGAACATCCATATCATTCTGTCCTGTCTAAAATAGTGTTGAAGAGCCCTTACGTGCTTCAGCACCTGCCAGTAAGCCGATTGTATTGTTTGGCTTTAGTTTGGAAAATGTTGTCAGTAAACAGCCAGAGGCTACTCCTGCTTCAGCGGCCTGTGGGTTTTTTTTCAGATAAGCCTGTCAAGTTGAAATCTACCTAAATTAGGTTATGCAGAACTGAATGTAGTTGAGAACTACTAGATACGAGGCGATTAATCCTATCATTAACTGCAGTTAAGTGTTTGAAGTTATTCTCAGCCCCTTGAGCTGCTGTTTTTTATGAGCTCTCTCAAGAAAGCAGAATTTAGACCCTCTTTTCATAAAGTATTTCCCTTCTGCTCAGTTTTTGTGTAGAACAGTGAATTCCCCATTCAATCTGAATTCCTTATCACTTTGTTTTCGGTTTTGTTCCTTAAGTCCTGTTCTCTGCAGAGGGATTCTTGTTTTAGCCTTATTTCTTGGTATTTGTTACTTCACATTTTCTGTCCTCTGAAGAATGGTGAGCTCATTTCAAACTAGTTGTTTCTTCATTGTTTGACTGATACCTCCACTAAATTTTTAACCTTTAATTCCAGTGCTGTTGCATAAAGCCTTGTGGAACAGCTGTAGTTATGATAATCACAGAAGGTGGCTGTGAGGTGGAGAGAAACACTTCCTGTAATATTGTTGTCTGTGTATACTGAAATATTTTGACCAATTTTATATGATTCTATGTGAATGAATATGGTGTTTTGTTTTGTTTTGGTTTTTTTTTTTGGTTTGTTTGTTTTTAAGCACAAAAAACTGGGGCCAAAGGGAGATATTGACGTGAACTTGGAAGACAAGAAAGAAGAAAAAAACCAGCAAGGAGAACTTTACATGTGGGACACAATAGAACAGGTATCACTTACGTGACATTTGCTGCAGTTTGTTACTAGGTTGTGTAATCCTGGAAATTTATATTAATTTTCTCAAAATTTGTCAGTTGAATAGATGTGAATGAGGGGAAGAGGTATTCTGTTTATTGTTACACCTAGTTTTGAAATGGTGGTTGTTGAGTTTTCTTCTGTCTTGTTAATGGTTTTAATATCTCTCATTTTTAGAAATGGACTCGGCACTACTGTGCTATTGCTGATGAAAAGCTTTCATTCAGTGATGATATCGAACAGAATGCTGATGAAGATTTAACAAAGGTGATGACTATGTTTTGTTATTTAAGCATGTTCTTTTTATTTACTCAGATTATTTGAGTGTCTAGAGATGGATATTTTTTATGCCAGTGTTGAAATTGCAGAGGATGTGTGTCAGATAACAAGTGTATGTGGAGAGAAAACCCTTTTAAAAAGGTTTTTTGCCACTGTACTCCAGTTAACCCTATTTTTAATAAAAGAACATTTTCCCTTTGCTAATTTGCAAAGAGGAGTACAAATACAACTGTATTTAAATGCCAGTGCTGCTGATGCGTGTGCTGGCAATCAAAGGCTTTATATGCCTTTGGCTAGACATTATTGCGGTTCTCAAACTAGACAGAATGATGAACTAAGGTTTGTTGTGTTAGCATTACAGCACGCCTCTTGCACAATACATGTTCGTTTCACGTTTGGAAAGTGTTTGTCATAGGTAAGCATGTATTACTTGGCTGTTGTGCATGAGAAATATGAAACTCAGTAAGGTTTGCAATAGCAGTGATGTTCAGGGTCGTTTATTGTTCTGACCTTTTAGGTTTCCATGCATGTTGTTATGTTGCTAACATACATGTGCATGCTTCATAGTTCTGTGCAGATGCACAGCATTTTACCTATTCACCTAGTTGTTAATATCAGTAAAATAATTAAGGAAGGACACAGATGAATCCTGGGAAAAGCTGATTAGAAACTGTAAATAAGCAGTAGGTTTCTTTTTTCCTTGAAAATATATATTGTTATTTGCATTGCTGCATTTTTTCAATATTTGAATAACTCTAAAATTGATCACTGCTCCAAAGAAATGGCTTGTCTGGGGAGTAGAGTCAGGGGTGACTATGAAGGTGATTGGCTTGTTTGTGGAAGGGGAAAGTCCAGGGCTAGGAAGCTGAATTCTAGAAATAGTAGATTGTTATATCAGTAATAAGTACTTTGTTTCAAGATCATAAAATTAGAAATGTATTGTAAAAACTCTTATTCTCTGGTCTAGGAGGTGAAACGTACTGAACTGCACTTAAAAGAGAAATGGTTCCATGGGAAAATGAAAGAGGGGAGAACAACTGCTGAGAAACTGCTTCAGGAATATTGTGCTGAAATGGGTGGCAAGGATGGGACATTCCTAGTTAGGGAAAGTGAAGCTTTCCCTAATGATTGCACCTTGTCATTCTGGTATGGTGATTGTCATAAAAGGTTTATGTGGGTTTTGTTTGGTTTATGGCATTGTACAAAAATGTGTGTATTTTTCAAGTACATTTATAGCTTAGAGGAAATATGAATGAAGAGTTGTTAAAATTACTACGTTATTGATGATATTGTGAAAGACTACTTTCTAAATGAAACTTCAGTCTTAATATCGTGCATTTTGGCAAAGTAGGATTTATTTGAAGTGTTACAGTTGACAAGAGAGGACTAAGTTTGATTTCCCTCTCTCAATCTCCAGCTTTTCTGGTGCTCAGTCAGGATATAGGATTTGTTATTTCTTCAGGGCTAAAATTCAGTCTTTAAGTTAGGGATAAATTACTGGTTTCTGTGCTGTAAAGGTAGTCTCATGAGTGTACCTTTATTATCAGAGATTGATCTTTTTAATGAAAAGATTCTCTAGAGGGAAAATAATAAAGAATTTTGGGGTGTGTGTCTGTGGCTTTATGGTAGTCTGGGTTTGTTTTTTCTTCTGGTTTGGATAGTATGAAGAATAGTGTATCAAATTTATTTCTGACCAAGAGAGCTGTTGGAGCAAATTTTGCAGGGAATAAGTGTATGCCAAATTTAAAGCCATTGTGGGTTGGAAGTTACTGTTTTCAATTCTGTAATATTACTTGTCAGGATTTTTGTTGCTATTCTTCGGGTTTTTTATGAGATGACACAGATTTCTTCCTCTTCACAAGCTCACAAAGTAGTTGGCCAAGAACAGGTGAGGAAATGCTTCAAAAGAAGAAAACCTGTTATAAAACCTCTTTTCCTTATGCCTCTCTTCATTGCTTTAGGAGGTCAGGTAGAGTCCAGCACTGCCGGATCCGATCTTCGACTGATGGGGACACTGTGAAATACTACCTGACGGACAACCTCACTTTTGATAGCATCTATGATCTCATTCAACACTACAAGGAAGCCCACTTACGATGTGCTGAATTTGAGCTTCGCCTGACTGATGCAGTCCCTAATCCCAGCCCTCACGAGACTAAAGAGTATGTATAACAGAAGGCAAGAACCAGGGCTGTTATGTCAGGGTCCTTTGCATTGTTTTAGATGGTCTTTGATTTTTGCATAGAAAATTCCCCAGATTCAGGAGCACACTGTTGCTTGTCAGATGTCATAGGAGCAGGCTTCCCTGAAAGATGCTAAGATCACTGACTGTGAGAACCTGGTACAACAGTGAGCAGTCACTGGGAAAGCAATTGACTAGCAGCAACTAGGAAAATCAGTGAGAGCTGTAACGCCAATTCCTCCTTTCTCAACTCTGTGTTCTACAGCACCCAATTGGTTGGCTTGGACATTTAGAAGTTGGCTGTGGCCTGACAACTAAGTAGTCATGATCTGTGCCATGTGGAAACTCTACTACTGGGGCAGTGAGCCCAGTTTCGTTTTCCTATTCCCGCCCTCCACCTCACCCCTGTCGCAGTTGGTTAGGCTGAATTCGGCCCATGCTGGTAGGAAGTAGTACAGCTTAGAGTTTATTTCCAACAGGCCTTTGCCTGCTGTAGATCCTGAGCAGAGCTTGCTCTTGGTTGCTGACAGTGTAATCACTGCCCTTTGTTCTGTTTCTTTGCAATGAGAAAAAGTAAATCTCCTTTGCATGTTAAATACTGATCTGTGACTTTAAACTTATTTTTTTGCTCCCCTGCCCTGAGATTTGGGAGTCACTGACCACCTATATATAACTTTGGAAGCCATTGAGAGAGGAGAGTATTTTCAAGTTTGGCCTTTTCTGCCTTTCTGTATAAGGTTGAGATGTACTGCCAGTATAAGTGGCCATAACTTCACTAAAGACTCATTAAATCCAAGATAGGTGTATCCCTACAGTGAAAAAAAACAGAAAAATACAAATACCTGGTGTTTTCTTCTTTATCTGTGTTTGGGGTTTTCCTTAAATCTACCATGTCAAAATTGAATAAACTACTGAAAACTGAATGGCCTACTGAAAGGAAGAAATGCAGACTTATGATTTCAGACAGACAAGGTGTTCTGATATGTTCTTGATTCTTTCATCCAAAATAAGCTGCTGTGTTACAATGTCTTGTAATAAGCTGCTGTCACAGGTGGCAAGATGGAGAAAATCTAATGCATAATTTTTCTTGTAATATTTGAAGCTATTGTTAATAACACTTCCTGATATTCTTACCGAATGGCATTAGGCAAGCTTTGTCATCCTTTGTCCATTTTAACTGTTGTAGTTGGTACTATAGCAACTTGAGTCGGGGAGAGGCAGAAGACATGCTGATGCGAATTCCTCGAGATGGAGCCTTTTTAATTAGAAAGAGAGATGAACCTGATTCGTTTGCCATGACTTTCAGGTAAGAAAAGGCAGATATGACTGCATTACGTCATAGCACAATAGTGTTCTGATTTTCTTACTTAAAAAATAACGTGGGTGGGTTTTTTGTTTTGTTTTGTTTTGTTTTTTTTTTTTTTAGAGTAATAGAATTCTTGCTTTCAAACGTGCAGTAATTAGCACGGTTGGTTTATATAGTATGGGGATGTATACAAGAGTTGCTTTGTGACTGGAATAAACCTTTATGCTTTTATAAAAAATATTTGGGCATCGACTGTCCCTTTCTTCTAATACAGAACTGTGCATGGCTCTTTTTTTCTTCCTTGACGCTCCTTAGTTCAGGGTGCTATTCTGAAGTTTTCTTTGGTGCTGGTTCAGCAGTGATTCTAGGTCCTTATCCCCTGGAAATCCTAACCCATCATGTAACTGACGGAAATGAAATGTTGGAATGAAATTGTCACTTTTATTACCAGGGAATATACTTTTGAAATTGTGGTTCTTGGAATAACGGTAATAAAATGTATAGCAATGTGGTGTTCTTGATTGTGCCTTCAAATCAAATTGCGGTTCTCTGAAAATGTCTGTTTCTGCAGCATATAAAATTGGTTTTGAAAAAATAATACTTTTTCCTCTTATTTGCATGCCTTATTATGTATTGAAGGTGTCCAGAATTCCCCAGTCCCCTCTGTACTTTGGTTTGAAGCTTTCTGCTGTTACCAAGGTGGATGTTGAAGTGACTGGAGCTGCAGCATCTCAATAAAACCATTTCACAGTGGGGAAAACAAGAAGCACCAAAACTTCAGCAGCTTGAAAAGGATACAGGGGTCTTCTGTGGGTGGGATGGTTGCCAGTGTTTCTACTGTGTTACTGTTATCATCACAAGTACAAATCTTGTGTTCAAGCACAAGAATTTTTTCATTTCAAAATTGATTCCTGCAGTTATGAGAGAGATTATAGGGAAGAGACAGCAAATCGCTTTGAGGGGAGTGTGCCTGTCGCTTAGGGGCAGTGGAGCATCATCGTTATCAGGACTCTGATCATTTATGTTCATGTGAAGGTGACAGATTACCTATGTGTAGGGGGGAAAATCTAAGCAAAACATGGATATGTTTCAAGGCCATGTATATCACAGAAAAGTGAGAATGTCTTTTTGTGCATTTAATCAGGCAATTGAAACTCGAATAAAAGAGACTTTGGAAGAGGGAGAAATTATTTCATGTGATTCAGATGCACAAAGGCATTTGTTCCACTTTACAGCACTGGTGCTTTCACTGCAAGTACCAGTACCTCTTACAGCACCTGCACTTCTTTCACAGAGCGGAAGGGAAGGTGAAGCACTTCCGAATTCAGCAAGAAGGTCGTCACTTTGTGCTTGGAACCTCGGCCTATTTTGAGAGTTTAGTGGAGCTGGTAACGTACTATGAGAAGCATCCGCTGTACAGGAAGATGAAATTGCGTTACCCGGTAACTGAGGAGCTGCTGGAGCGCTACAGCGTGGTGAGTGATGGTCACGGTACAGTTGCTGTAATGTACTGAGTCTCAGATCCAGTGGTGCTGGGTTTGAGTCTAGCTGTGGCAGATGCACATAGTTTTCTTATCTCTGAAACTGAGGTGGTTATACTGACTTCTCTCAAGAAGGTTTGAGATATGTGAAGGAAAGAGCTTCATCTTTGGTTACAGGTCAACTCTTGCCTTCCTCCTGGTTCGATTAGCAAACGGTGCTCTGTGAATTGGGGAATTGTTGCTCTGCTAAAATGAGTTTTTGATAATAGCCTTGCCTGCATTTGGCCCTGCCTCTGTTGCTGCAGTGGGCAGAGATCTTAAAATGATCACGCAGAGGCCAATTGCTAAGCATTTCAGAAGAAAAGGAAGTATTCTGCTGTGCCTCTGGCTCTGGATGAGTGGTGGCATTTGCTTCACCACAGTAGAGCTATCTCACAGATGGCATCCAACTGCCTTCTGTGGTAAAAAGTGAGAGGTACTTAGAAAGCTCACTTTTTGAGATACATGTGAAGAAATCTCCCTGAGACATACTTGCCTCTGTCCATAGACTGAACTAGGAGCCTGGATAATTAGCTTAGAATAGATGCCTACTTTCTGGATGGACGTGTTTCCTGATGAGAGAGGTTTGCTGAGGTAACTGGCTTTTGAAAAGCCTGAGATGACATCTTCTATGTTCAAATATATGTCTGCAGGGACACGTTAGAAAAGCTGCAGGGAAAACACCTCTGTCATGTTTGAAGAAATTAAAATCTGGGCTTTTATTTTTTCTGGGAAGACAAAGAAGGATTGAAAATATTTTAGACCTCAGGATTTTTTATTATGTTGCCTATAGCTAAGGTTCTGCATCCTAGGATCAGGTCCAAATGGGAACTCAAGGAGAGAACAAGATTAAATATATGACTGTGTGTATTGTTTTAGAATTTTTATCTAATAGTGAAACCAGCACTGGGACTAAAGTACTGTAACACAAAAATCATAAGCATAGGTATTGTCTTCCCTGGTTGCATATAGAAGGGTACTCACAATCTCACAGCTATTTGACTGATTAAGAGACACGTTTGTGAGGTATTGCTGTTTCATCATGCTTTACTGTTCATTAAACTGAGGCATAGACAGATTAAATAACAAACTCACATTCAGCTATATGCAAGTATAAAAATGAGCGTAACAGGTGTCTTGCTTCCCTCCTCTTCTGTTTGCCTAGGTATTGTCAAAAGGTGGTTTCAGTAATGAATGCTCATTCAGTACTTCTATGATTTTTGATTCTTGTAACTTCATTTTTTTTCCCTTTCTTCCTGTTTTTAGGAAAAAGATGTTAACTCCCTTTACGATGTCAAGATGTATGTGGAACCCAGTGAAATCACCCCTACAGTGGTATGCTTAAAGAGAGATATTCACACTTACTGTAGGCTTCTGAGATTTATGAGACTTGCTTGTTGATTTCCTGTTAGCAGTAAAGAAAAGAATTATTGAAAGCGTTAGGCTGCTTGATTTATGGGGGACAGGACAGCAGAAATTTAAAGGGTGTGACGCTTTTCTAGCATTTCTTTAAAAGTTGTACCCACATGTTCTTATTTATATACTTTCTGTATAAAAATGGTGGCTTTGGTTTATTAATGAATTATTAAGGTTTGTCCTCCTTTAGGATATATATGTTTTAAAAACAAGTGGCACAGCGAATGTCTACTTATCTCTGGGTTTTATTATGCCCTGCCAACTTGTAAATTCCCATAAAAATTTGCCTGCTTGTAAATTTTGTTGGCTGTAATTCTTTTTCGTCTTTTTGGCCAGTGAATTTGCATTGCCGCTGAAGAATTTGGGTAGTAGTAAATCCAAGATAAAGAAATTGCTTGTCCTGCTAAAACTGCATGTCTTCCTAAAGGAAATGTGACCAGCAGGATAGCTGGTGTGGTTTGGAAGTGGAGGCTTTGTAGGCACCTAAGCCTCCAGCCTCCAGCTGTGTATGAATACATGTAATGAAGATAGAGGACTGATATTTCATTATGTGGTTCTCCTTTTTCCTTTTTCCCCCCTTTTTTTTTGAGTCTGTGTGTGTCTTGCAGTAATTATGTTACAGCACTCATAAAAGAAAGATTCTTTTTTCCTTTTTTCCAAGCTGGTAACTTGGAAGAATAGCATTTAAGTACCATCACCTGCTACCACCAATAGATGTCACTCTGGAACTTTAGTATTTTAGTAGTGTGTTTTCTAAACTTCATTACTGAAAAAAAAAAAAAAATTAAAAAAAAAAGGATCCAATCCCCTTTTTTAATTTTTTGTTTGTTTGTTTTAAATAAGATTGCATTATTGATTATTTTATAACCCATCCCCCTGCATAACCCCCTTTGCTCTGTTTCTCTTAAAGCCTCAGAGAACCGTGAAAGCCTTGTATGACTACACAGCCAAAAGAAGTGATGAATTGAGCTTCTCTCGAGGAGCTTTAATTCATAATGTCACAAAGGAAACAGGAGGCTGGTAAGGACAAAGATTCCTCATAGGAGAACTCCTGTGACTTCTTAGATGGACTTAAAAATTGACCTTCCAGGAGTAGTTTTTAAAAGATTTTTATTGTCTGATTGCTCCTTTCTGACTGTGGCCTTACAAATCTTAATGCCAAAAAAAACCAAACAGTCATCCTCAAGTCTTCTTTCATGTCCTTTCCATTTTTCTATCCTGCAGCAATAACCTCAGCCTGCAGAACCTCCGTAGCCCAGTGTATCCAGTATTTCTCCTTTACTACATTAATCCTTCCTGAACACTTGTGTATTCTGGGAAGTCATGCATCTGTTACCATTGACATCATTGCTCTGTTTCTTCCCTTGATCTGTTAAGTACTTCTCGGGAATCAAACCCACCTTTTTTAGTTCTCTGTACAGTCTCCTTTCATAAGAGGTTTTCTTTCTTAGAAGGCTTGTAAATTGCTTGGAAAGCTTGGGAATCTAATGTTTCCCTGTAGTTTCTGCAGGGTAATCAACCACATAATAGTATTTTTAGTACTGGAGGGGGAAAAAGCCTCTTAAGTAATTAATTGCAGTTTACAATAACTGTAATCCCTCTGAAATAGTCTGTTACTACAGTTAATGATCACTTTGTTAGAGCTTTTAGCTACTTCATCACTTATATTTTGGTGATAGCCAGCTAGACTGTCACCAGTATGGGGTTATTAATGACCAATTTCTTGAGGATTATTGCTTCATTAATGGCCTATTGAAGCTTTTGAACTATGGGGGGTTTTGTTCGTGTCTGTATATATATATATATATATATATATATATATATATATATACACACTTTCCTTTTTAAATTCAGGTGGAAGGGGGATTATGGAGAAAAAGTCCAACATTATTTTCCATCTAATTATGTTGAAGACCTGTCATCTGAAAACTCTGCTGAGCTTGAAAACCAGGTGAGGGTTAAAGTTTGTCTGCTCTCTTACCCTAGAAGATGCTGCCTGCTGGATGTGCAAGTCTGCTTTAGAGAATTATGACTCTGCATGCTGTGTTTGAGAGAACATGAAGGAATGAATGTGCTCTTCACCATTCTCTGAATGTTATTGTCAGAACACCCCTTGTAAAAAACTACTTAAGGAGAGAGCTGGTTTGGTGCGGTGTTAGGAGGTTATAATGGTTTCCTGCTAATGTAAATCATACCAGTTCAGAATTTTCAGATACTTTGGCTAAACAATAACGTACCTGAAACTTTTAACTAGTTTGCCTGTATAATTACTGCTTTAATATTTGAAATAAGAAAACTATGTGTAAAATCACATCTTAATAGCCATTTCACACTCCAGTATTTTTATGCATAACTAACCCTATACTGTTTGTGAAAAGTAGCTAAAAATCTAGTGTTGGACAAAGTTCTCTTCAACAAAAGAAAACTCCACAGTAATCAGTTTTTGACATTTTTGAGTTTTAAAAATAAAATGTTGAATTGTGCTGTTCTGAAGCACTCCCAGTGACTTTCCAGGAGTCTCTGCAGGAAAGCACATATTAGATTTCCATCCACAATCATTGCAGGCTTAAGCAGACAAGAAAAATGACCAGTTGTCAGGACAGAAGCTGCACTCACTATAGTGATTTTCGTGTGTTTGTCAAAGTAGGAAATTCTTGAGATGGAAACAGGCTTTTAAACATTATTGTGGGCATGCTTTCAGAGAAACTGAAATTAGGTTTAATGGTGCGTGTTTATTTCTGTTAATGTCCTGTTTATATTCATTTAAGAGAAGATTTAGGGTCAGATTTACCTCGTGTTTTTCAGATTATCGAGGACAATCCATTAGGCTCTCTATGTCGCGGCATACTGGTACTCAATACTTACAATGTTGGTATGTATTTTCTGATGCTTACCTATGGACTTCTGAGCTTTCTGTGTTGAGCAGACTCTTATGTTTTGCAGGAAAGATTAAAAATAAATTAATATGATAAAACTTTATGATACTGACTGTTGCCATAAATCAACAATGACAGCTTAGAAGAACAACTGTTGGATTTCAGTATAAATCTCTTGCTCCTGTGTTGCTCAACAGTGAAAATGCCACAAGGGAAACACAAAAAGCCTTTTGTGTTCATTCTGGAACCTAAGAATCCAGAAGATCCATGTGTTGAGTTTGCAACTGATAAAGTAGAAGAACTCTTTGAGTGGTACCAAAGTATCCGTGAAATCACTTGGAAAACTACAGAAGAGGTATTGCTAAAAATCTGTCCCTTATTGTTTTTTATAATGTTCTGCTATAAATTTACAATTGGATTTGTCTTTAGCTGCCAAACCTTGCTAACACATGGTGCTTTGCTCTGTTTTGTGTTGCTCTGTCTCTTTTATTGATGCTGTAAATCTTGTTCCCCAAACTCTTTTGGGAATGTAAATTAGCATTTTGTGTAAATTTGTTAACAGGTTTTTTTCAGAGGTATACTGTCTGGGTTGCACTCTGCACCTCAGTGAAGTGCATGTAGTAGCACAAAGTAGATACCATTACAGTTTTACGTCTGGTGGCACTGGTTCAGTCCTAGAGTTAAGCAGAAAGAAGCTCAGCTATCAGGCTGTTTCTGTTCAGAGTTGTGAATCCACTAGTGAGTATATGTGAAATCCGAGCTGCCTTTACGTAAACTCTTCTTAATTGTGAGTACTAACTCTGCTTCCCGGTGAATGCAGTGGCACTGGTAGGGAATTGTTTGGGTAATTATTTATTTGTAACTAATAGGCGCATTCTGCATTTACCAGATCTTCAGTAGTAATATTTCCAAATCCTTGCCTAAAAATTAAAGGATTCTGACTAAGTTTAGCTTCTGTGTCCCTCTAACGGGACATGTGTGCCACTTAAAGACATTCTTCAGGACTTGCTTTTCGTGTTCTGATGTATTAATTTATCTCGCCATCAATCTTTTCTAGTATTTAAGAAGTCTTTGACATGACCAGAAAGCCCTTACAATGACTATGCTTAAGGATACTCTTTCCTTTGTTGCTTTTATTCGTGTTTTACTAAGTGGGTGGTATGAGTGCTAGAAGATATGTTTTGAGTATCATGCTGGCTTGGGCTGTTTATCTGTCATCTGGAGTGGTAATGCTCTGAGGGTCATCATAATCCTATTTATAGCAGGCAGGTTGGTGTCTCAAACAAAGAACTGCAAATTCAGCAACGGAAGAACCAACAGGAGGTGTTGGCCTATCGTTAGGGGAGGAGGGAGGCAGTTCTTCTGCCAGGCTTCCATTTAGAAATAAGGAGAGAAATGTGACCTAGAAGTGTCTCTAAATGGAATTTTTTTAATGTACAAGCTCTTCAGGGGCTTGGCAGCTTTTTCTCCCACTGTACAGTTAGAGGAGTGTTAAACACTATGTATTCAAAGATGCTTTAAAGCTTGTTTCTGTCAGTCGGGGCTTTTCTTACAGCCTGGCTTCTAGAAAGTTCACATGATAGACTGCTGCATGGAGCAGGGAAGAAGCTGTCAGGGAAAGGCCCTTTTTGATAGTACAGTAAACAGGCTGAATTTCATGGAAGGAGAAAGCATGGTGAGATGGCACTGTGCTGCAATACAGGTTTTAACTGACTTCATTTTTGGGCAGTGTCCATTATACACAAAAAGTAAAACTAAGCTTCACATATCTTGTCATCTCTGCTTAATACTGACACTTGCTATGCTCTTAGTAATGGTTGTTCATTGCTATCTCTCCTGCTTGGTTATCACTAGAGGGTTATGTCTAAAGATGAGCTCATAGCATCTAGAAGTATCATTTGCTATTTGGAACTCAGATCACTTGTAAGCAACGTCTGGGAAACTGTGGTGGATGACTAAGTACAATGAGGTTTGGACAGCTTTTTCCCAAGGTTATTTCCAAATCTAAATACCATATTCTTCTTTGTTTGTCTTAGATTTCAGTGTATAATCTCTGGTTCGGTGAAACATTCTGGAAGCCCGTGGCTTCCTAGGTCTGGTTTTCATTCCTCTTCAGTTTGTCTTGTTGAGGAAATTATTTTGGGAGACTTCCTAATTGCTGCTGCTTCATAACCTCTTGGACCAACGCTAATCACTGTTCTGTATGAGACTCTTCTAATATTGTGCAATTGTTTCTTATGTCTAAAAAGCCTCCAGCCCCAATGTCTTCACTCAAGACAAGTCTCAGTGATTTTAGGAGTTCCCAGTCTGTGGTTGCACAGACCATTGCTCAGCTTCCACAGAGGAGGTGCTTCCAAACATGGAAGTAGATAGTGGGTTTATTACTGGTGATAACAAGATTACATGTGATTTTCCACACGTAACATTATTGGTTTGGTGCGCAAATAGAAAGCTAAAGGAATAATGCTTACGGGGTTTGGATTTAGCTATTAGGGAGTTACTAACAAGACCTAAGTCCTGCTCAGGACTGTAAATAAACAGATGCTTCATTATCCATTCAATTTTTCTGCATACATTTGCATTTGTGTGAGTTACAGAGTGGAGAATATAACTAAAATTGAGTAGAGTCCATTAAAAGAAAAAAATAAGTAATTGTTGCCAGGTTACTGAGTAGGACTAATCAGGGAAGCACTGAAATACTTGCTTAAGGAAAAAAGCCCCAGGAACACAACCCCTTTCAAAACATACCTCCAACTACACCCCAAACCCACTTGGTTAGCCTGTTCTCTGAATTGGGTCTTTAAGTACATTGCATTTGTGCAGGTGGCTAAGGTATCAGGTAGGAATCTGAGCAACAAAGAATGCATCAACTTTGTAATTGCATTAGAGTGTACCCTGGTGTTACTCTACCATAATGCTCAGTGTATCTGTAATCTAAAACTTCATCACATTTTACAGGAGAACAGGAGGAAATACTGGGAAAAGAATCAGTTGATTGCTATTGAATTATCTGATCTGGTAATCTACTGCAAGCCAACAAGCAAAACCAAGGACAACTTAGGTATTTCCTTTGACATTACATCTGAATTTTACCCTTTCTACTGTCTTTACAGATGTTAGTTGATATTTTAGAACTGAGGATAAAATCTACCATTTCTCTGCTGGAAAACAAACTTCTGCCTCGCCCATGCAGTTTTCAGTGGGACTTCGAAATTGTGCACTAGGGACTTGATGCTATTCAACTGTCACAAAGAAACTGTCACAAAATTCTAACTAGTACTAGATACACCCTCTCCTAGGTCTTTCGTGGGGAAGTTCACTAGTTACGTGTCAACTGACTTCTTTGAGATGAGAAGCTCTGGCTGACGATGACACTTGTGATCTGTTTGTAAAACCCTCAAAATGGATGTGCTGTGCATCATGTAATTTTACTGTAAGAACCTGTTTGCTATTTGTGCAAGATATTGGAATGGTATATATAGTTTCATTGTAGAAATGAGAACTGGGGTCTCTGTAAGTGCTGTGTGGAATCCGACACTGAAATATGTACTACTTATCCCATTTTTTTTGTCATTGCTGCCTGAGGATCCAGCAAATGTGGCCTTTAAGTTTCTTTGCAAAGCTGTCAATGTGGTTAAGACATTGTAATTATAGTCATTGTTTGAGGCATTGGCTAACCCTGGATCACCCTTTCTTCTCCCCATTTAAACCCTGGAAAAGACGTCTCATTTAAATATGCTATAGTGATCAGAAGTATATTATTAGCAATGAGAAGATGAGAATGTGACTATAGACTCTTATTTGCCCTTCTGCAAAGTGTGTGGCAAGTAGGTAATTTTCACTTCCAGACTTGATGCTCACCCAGTTTGCCTGCATGAAAACTGTGCCAATTATTGCATTAAAGGACAAAACAAAGCAAAGTGAAGCAAAATATTAGTAGAAATGCAGTGTAAATGTCAACTTCTCTCTTCCTGTAGTAACCTTTTTCCTCCCTATCCTATGTAGAAAACCCTGATTTCAAAGAAATCCGTTCTTTTGTGGAAACCAAGGCGGAGAGCATTGTTAAGCAAAAGCCAGCTGAGTTGTTGAAATACAACCTGAAGGGACTGACACGTGTCTATCCTAAAGGACAGAGGGTCGACTCATCCAACTATGACCCATTTCGCCTTTGGCTTTGTGGCTCCCAGATGGTGGCTCTTAACTTCCAAACTCCAGGTAATGTTCTTGTTAAAAAGAATCTAAAATCCACCTTCTATTTTGCTATAAACAAGCAGCTTTCTGGCCCCTCTGTCATCCTCCTCACTGTGGTTGTCCTCTTTATTTGTGCTCCCCTGCAAGAAGTGATGTGCAAGAACAAAGTTTGGTTTTGAATGTGTGGATTGCTTGATAGAGCTGATCCCCCAAAATCAGCCTCCAAAAGCGCTGTTTCTGAGTTTAACTAGCTGCAAACTCTAAAAGGTTTATTTCATCTTGATTCTTACGGTAAGTAGGCAAAAATATTTCTACTGTATGTTTCAGGTGAGTGAACAGTTGTTCAGCCACAGGGAAGGCTGTACTCCACTTTCTGGTAAGGGCCAGCTAGCTTGTGACACATTGATAGGAAACTAATTGTGAATAGAGATGGGTTTATTGGGATTAAAATTGGTAAGAAATTGCCTGTTAAGGTTCAGTTACTGAAGGGAACCAAGTCTTCCAACTTACCTTTCCAGGTCTTTCTGATAAAGTGGTGAAAGAATTGCAGAGAGGAGCCATTAGTCTGGTACTTCCTTAGCTTTATTCGAATACAGATCTTCTTCTGTTATGACTGTTTAACTCTCTCCTTAGATAAATACATGCAATTGAACCATGCCCTATTTTCACTTAATGGACGCACTGGCTATGTTCTCCAGCCAGAAAGCATGCGAAATGAAGAATATGACCCAATGCCAAATGACTCGAAAAGGAAACTGCAGATGATTATGACAGTGAGGGTAAATCTCTTTTGTAAATTATGTTTTTCACAAGTCATAAGTATCTATAAAACTAAAACTAAAGCTATTATGTTTCAAAGCAAGATCTGACAGATTGTCAAAATACTGTTTTTAAATGTCAGTGTGTTTGAGAATAAAAACTTAATTCCACTGGTTTCTGAAAAGAAAGCTATATCTTTATCATGCTAATGAAGCACATACTATAGCACTGAAAACAATCCTGGGATAATTTTATATAATTGCTAATAAAAATTCCAAATGAACTAACTTGCATTTCCAATCTAATGACTTCTCAATAGCAGGGTCCTAATGGAGGTTGGTCAGCAGCAGACTAACTAGTTCAGAGATTTCTAGTGAGGAAGATAGATATTTATAATGAAATACAGAAATTAAGCAGAAGAAATAGTAAGCTGACCATCCCCTTCATCATATTTGGTTCTCTGTGACTTAATCAAAATGTCATTCTCATTTTTCATGGAGATGGGTTTATAATTAGAAAATTATGCCTTGTTGTCTTCTTGTACCAAAGAGGAATTTAACTGCTGTTCTCAGTTGCTATACAGTAGGAGATACCCTTTAAAAATATGTTTTCTGAGAAGAAACACATTGACTACATTTTATTACAGTCTAGAGAAGAGGTAAACGGGCTGTGAATGTAAAGCAGGAATGTCTTAAAATAGGTATGTCATAAAGACAGAAGAAAGATAACTTATATTACAGGCCTGGCCTGGAACCACATACTGTATGTAGTGAATGTCAGCTACAGTATCTTGCAGTGAAAATCACTGGGTTACCCGAATGGACAATATTATTAATGGTGGCACAGATAGTGAGTTTAATACATACAGATCTATTCAAGACAGGGAGGGTGGGTTTTTGCATGTTCTTCTAGATCCACCCCCCTCTAGTTCTGTAGGCTACCTTCTGTACAGAAATAATGCTGACAAGTTTCCTTTGGAGGTGGTTGTAACTCAGTTGCTTTTGCAGGTTTTAGGTGCTCGTCATCTCCCTAAACCTGGCAGAAGCATTGCTTGTCCCTTTGTAGAGGTAGAGATTTGTGGGGCTGAATATGATAACAACAAATTCAAGACAACAGTTGTGAGTGAGTATCTGCAGTTTTCTGTGTTGTAGGGATATGGCTATACCTCAGGTGTGCTTAAATAAAGTGAGTAGAGGATAACCATGAATTTATGTTGACTGTAACTGGCCTGTAACCTGTGTTGGGAGGACTAAGTTAACTGTCACCCTGCTTATTCTCTTGCTTGCCTCAGGGCCAGATAATTTGAGAAACTTCAGTGTATATCAAATTCAGAAAAAAATACTATTGCAGTTTGTAACACCCCCCCCCAAAGTCACAATTCTGTTAAGGTTTTGCCTGTGTACAAGTTTGTGTATTTGCATACTTTTAAAAACTGCTGTCTTGAAAGTGCCTCCAGTAGTGGTAGTCAGTTCTCAAAAGCCTGGCCCAAATGGGGAGTTAACTACTGTGAGAGCCGGACTGTGTTTAGTTAAACTCGAGGTCTAAGACTGGCATCCCCTTGGAGACAGCTTGGGTATATAGGGCTGTGAAATAGCATAATGTGCAACCCAACTGAAGTTTGGTCAAAGCTGAATTGGTGAATTCTGCATAAGGGATGTGTGTTTGTGTGTGCATGCACTTCATTTAAGTGCACTGAACTGGGGCAATATCTCAGGCACTTAATAGTTCACTGTTTAATATTTCTAGATACAGCAGTGTTTTTCTAGTAGACAAGGTTCTAATTATCCTAGCCACTCATCCTACTGGAAAATAAACGTGGAATCAGGAGAAGAACATGCACTGTGGCTGTTCCATACTTCAGAGAAGAGGATTATGATTTTAACTTTTTTGGGAAATGACCAAGACTTTAGAGAGCAAACCGGGCTGTGTTTCACATACCAAATTACTCAGTGTTCTATAAATGACTCGAAGACTTGGGCCATGATACATTAGTCTTCTCAGTGCTTTTTTCATGTTTTTACAGATGTGTCCAAGTATATGTTTAATTACAAATAATAGCTTTAATAATATTAGCTTTTCTTCATGTATTTCCATCCCTGCCAAGTTTCCTCCTATCTTCCCGCCCAAATAAACAAATACGAACCTTCTGAAGCAAGGTTACAAGAGGAGACAGATGGTAAACAGGATTTTTGGGTCTTTGTATCCCCAGAAAATGTCATAGAATACATACTCATATGCGAATGAAGTGAAATTATTGCCTCATACTGCAACTGTTTCCTTTCGTTACAGATGACAATGGCCTTAATCCAGTTTGGGCTCCCTGTCCAGAACAAGTGAAATTTGAAATTTATGATCCAAATCTAGCGTTCCTGCGCTTTGTTGTGTATGAGGAGGATATGTTCAGTGATCCCAATTTCTTAGCACATGCCACTTTTCCCATCAAAGGAATCAAGTCAGGTAAGATCAGTAGGTATAAAAAGGGGCTAAGTTAGAAAGATGCTGCTCAACACTGATGTATTGTGACTTTGCTCTCAGTAGCAGCTACAACATGTCAAAGGATAAATGATCTTTTGATCTGAGTTCCTTGAATCCAATGTTTTTTAGGATACTGGATGTGTAGTGTATAAATATTTAAAATGATCCTCTCACCCTACCAAAATTTCTTCTTTTTAAAGATAGGAAAGCATTATGTAGAACAATTTGCACTGTCTACCCCATACTCTATTTCAGCAACAGGGTTATGTGCTCTGAGTAAAATCTGGGAAGATTTTTTTTCTGTTCTGGTGTCAGTGCATTTGTTTTGTTAATTTTCTTAGATGTGGACATACGTACAGTAAGCTTTCTGCTTTCCTCTGCTTCTGGCTTCAGTTTTCAAGAGCAATTTTGCCACTCTTGCCTTTGTTTCCCTGTAGTTGTCATAGCAAAGCCCACTCTCAGCAGCAGAGCATTTGGGTGATGAAGAATCGGCTAGCCCTTAGCACTGTATGCACCATTCTTGTGACTGCAGGTAACCCTTTGCCTTGACTCTAATTGCCCTTTGCATGTGTTTCCTCCACTGCAGGTTTTAGATCAGTTCCTCTCAAGAACGGCTATAGTGAAGATATAGAGCTGGCCTCACTTCTAGTTCACTGTGAGATGCAACAAATTCTGGTGAGAACTGCCACTTTTTTTTATGCAGTTAGGGAATATGTTATCAGGTCTTTGTGGAAAGCAGGAAATTAGGATTTAATTTTCACTCTGTGTTTGATGTGTTGTTGTTGGGCATTTCTTCTGCAGGTACTGGGAAGGATCAGTAACGCAAAGTGATTTACTCTCCCCCTGGATGGACAGATGATATAGTTGTTACACAAGAAATAATGCACTAACAAAGCCTCATTACCTCCACTAGTTTTTACTGTAATAGCATGGTCATTGTCTTCCTATGTTAGCTGGCTGATGCCATGCAAAGCTAGCTAAATTCAGCTTTGACTTCGTAGAATAATCTTTTTTTTTACAGGTCCTGTATGAAAAGATATCACTTTAGAAGAGAAGATACTAATTTCTCTCAGTACTTCATTACAATAAACAATCCATTGTGGAAGACATTCTGTTTCCTGCAGAAGTGCTAATCTGCTTCTTTTCAGTCTTTCTAAAATAACTAATTGAAGTACCACTATTTTTAAAGGCACATGGGAGGAAATAATGATGCATCCTTGCTCATGAAGCCAGGCATTAAAGTGGCTGATCTGTGAACAGCATTTGTTGGTGTTCCAAAGGTACTGGCTGTATATATTGATTTGAAGCAGGATTATTCTCAGACTCTCTGTATCTCAGTAATTTATGTAAGTTAAAAACACTGGTGTGGAGGCCACGTGATGAACGTTTAAAGATGCTTCTGGGAAGTGGGTATTTCAGGATGCTTTCTAGTATCCTTCAGATTCAGAGAGAGAAAAACAAAAAGAGTCTAAATTCTTATTTGTGGTCTTTTACAACCATTCAGGCTTATGCTGCAGTTCACACCAGTGTATATTATTTTTCCTGATTAAAACACCCAACTTCTGCTAACTGTAAGTCAGTATGTCCCTGGAGGGATTTGTGCCTGCAGTTGCGTACAATGAAATGGAAATTACTGAATTCAGTCACATTCTTCTTCACAAAGGAGTGGCAGTCTTTTTCAAACATCTGTTGTCAAGGGTTTTTCAAAGCCACCTTATAATGCATGATGCAAAATGACTCTCTGTAGTGACAGTGTTTGGCAGCTATGTAGGTTCTTCTGTTGGCTAGCTTAAGAGTCATGACAGCAAGACAGCGCTAGACGGTGAGACCACGTGTGTGTGTAAAGAAGAGACCTGTGTCCTTTGAAGATAAAGTTTAAAATGTGCATGTTTCATGGACACAAGTCTGACAGAGGAGGCCTGAGGAAGTCCTATTTTCTGGCTTGCTGCTTTTTTGAAAACTGGTAGCAACTCACCAGTGCCTCTTATGTCGAGCATGGACATCGCTTGTAGGTATATTGTGAACTCCTTCTGCTGTGGTTTCTCTTCAGAAATTCAGATCATTACTTGCCTGGGGCAGGAGAAGCTCTTAAAGTGATGTTCATAGCAGCAGTATGTCTCCCAATCTGTCAGCACCGAGTCCTTTGACAGTAGTACATTTCACACTCTTGAAGCCCCTTCTGCTTGTTAAGCCAAATGAAGATACAACAGAGCTCTGTATTTTTACAGTGTCTGATATCTCTGGGTGCCAATGCAGAGGCAGAAGAACTTTAAAAAAATTCCCCTTTTGTTTGGCAGTCTGCAGCAGATCAAGTCTTGCTGTAGATAATCAACCTCTAGAACTTCTGCCAGATCATTCAAGAAGCATCAGAGAAGATCAAGACTGGCTCCATCTGTTCTTTTGCCCCCTTTTTTTTTAATGATGACCCTCCATAAAATGATATAATTTCGTAACAGGCCTGTTTATATACAGAACCCATCTACATACTCTTAGCGATGAAATACAGAATTATGAAGGGGAGTTACAGATGGCTGTGGAATTTCTAAGGAATAGAGAAGTAAGAATATTGTAGCTGTAAGCATGCATATTTGTGAATTATTACATGGAGCCTTGTGAAGTTTCTGTTGAAGTTAAAGAGTTTTCTTGATAGTGTAGAAATTGTACCATACTGAGGTGGTTGTTGCATTTAGAAGCTTGTCTTATTTGCTTGAAAATTTATTTACTCGCTTCAGAAAGTGTCTCTTATCATTCATCAACATTTTCTGATTACAGTCAGCCTCGATACTGTATATGGTTTTTAACATAAAGATTGAAATGGACATTCTTAAATGGGGTTTTAAAGTCTACCTTTGTGGATGTGTTTATTTACAAGAACAAATAGTAGTGTGGTATACATCTTGATGATTACACCTGCAAATTGGTAATTGTCAATCTGCTTTTCCCTTTGCAATTTGGGAATACAAAGTTTCTTTCCCCTTCTAAAAAAATACTTTAAAATCTTAATTAGTAGCATAGCAGTAAGGCCATTCCAGTTGCTTCAATCCATACCTGGGTACAAGTGTGTTTTGGGACAACACAAAGGATCTACTGAAACCCCTTGGGTATGTTTCTAACCTATCAGGTTTCCTAGATCTGGACTGAGTGCAGAAAGAGGCATTCTTATTAGTATGCTGCCTCTGAAAATGTTTGGATTTATTACATTTATTGATTGCATGTCATTTCTTGTAGGATGAGTATCTTGTTTTGCTGCTGATGTGAAAATTAAGACTTCAGTTCTGCCAGTACTATTCCCCACTAGTAACTCTATAAAGGAGACAGGTTTTGCATCCGAAGTGTTGAAGTATTAAAATAATTTGAAGTCACAAATGGAATCATAATGATTATACTTTATGCTTGTGGAATATTTGGAGACCTAATGTGGGCCGTATGCAGCAACAGAAACTGATTGCTGCACATGATTCTTCAAATACTTAGTTCCTCTGCAATTGTCATAGCTACATAGAAACACAGGATCTGTCCTTCTCTCTTGATTGTCCAAGTACTTGCTGTTCTTAGAGGTCCTGTTTACTGGTCAGTACCTAGACGTTTAGTCTAGTTTTTAGTAGGAAGACACCAGGATTTGTACTATGTTGCATAATACACAAATATGATGGAAGAGTCAAAAATAAAGTATTCTTAAAACTGCTACAATCCTGTACCCCATCATGACACCCCATTTGCTGTCCTTTCCTCAGTGGACTGACATGCTTTTTTAGGGAAAAATATTCCAGTGGAAGTGTTTAGGTATACATGTTTCATGACTTGTGCTGAAATGTCCCTTATGCTCCCATTAGAGGCTATTGTTGGCCATGCCTGGGGCTGAGGCATTTTTTTGTGCTTTCTTAGTTTGTTTCTGCAAAAACTACAGGAACATACTTCTACAAAACTTTCTTTAGAAGTTATAAATAGTACTTAAAACTACTTTTATAACATTTTATAAAGCTAATGGAATACATTTAAGAAAACAGAATAATCCCCCAAACTATGTCGATTCCATGTCATTTTGGGTATGTGTCTTAGAAGTTATGCTGATTTCCAGTGTTCTTTTGAAGGAAAGTGAAGAAGAGCTTTACTCCTCATGTCGGCAACTTCGAAAGCGCCCGGAGGAGCTTAATAACCAGCTGCTCCTTTATGACACCCATATGAATTCAAGGAATCCTAACAGAGATGCTATATTGAAAGAATTCAGTGTGAATGAGCACAAACTACAGATATATCAAGACACATGCAACCGCAGGTGGGTGGATAATCATTCTCATTTCCAAGGTACTCTATGAAGACATGATTTACAGTAAGGAAATCTCAGATTTATCAAAATGAGCATCTAAAGAGTGGTGAGGGTAGAATGAGCATATTTGTAGGAAGGAAGGGCTGCCGTGAAGCAAGGCTGGGCTGCACGCCACTAGAGGCCAGCAGATGCTGCGAAATGTCTGCTGAGTGAAATAGTGGTTTCCGTGGTCACAGTGAATTAGGTATTCCTGTGAGTTTGTATTCCTCTTTTCTCCAGCTTTCCAGTATTTGCAGCCAAATAAATAAACTGCCTTTCTCCTTCTACACTGTTATGTCCCTGGAAATGTTGTTGGGATATTAGGTATGTGGGAACAGAAGATGCTTCCAAGATACACAAACCATAAATAAGATAAAAACAGGATTGAGTTGTAACAGCACAGACTTGCTAGTTAAGTATCAGACCATTATCCAGAACTTAGAGGAAGGATCTTTCGCACAACACCCAAAGTTGGCAGCAGACGAGAGGGAGACAGACAGAGGCTTCATGTACCAGGAGGAAGTCTCGAGTAGATCTCAAGATGGGGTGGGAGGAAGACTTTTCTATAAATATTTTTACTCTTTTTTTATGTGCGCTGAACAGTACATGAATCACTGGGTTACTCCCATTTACTGAGGGGGAAAATCTGCAATGCTTGTTGTTCATGCAGTACTTGCCATTCAAATCTAAGTAAATTGATCTTGGTAGGCTGTTTTCTTCTGGGAAATTCCTAGTAGACTTGACTTTTTCCTTTTCTTTTCCCTTAAGATTAAAGGAGAAGAAAGTCAGTAACAGCAAATTCTACTCTTAAAGCAGTCATTCTTTGATGCGTCCTTTATGATGCAATTCAGGAAGAGATTTAACTTATCCTGGTCATCCTGCTTAATGGCAGTCTCATCAGACTGAATGATTGGAAGAAGAAGAAGAGGCAGAAGGACGGGTTTCCTTATCAATTTCTTGTTACAAGAAAAACTGTTTTAATTCCTAATATTCTGTACAAAGCAAACCCTCTGTGCAGGCCAGGCCTTCTGTGTATTCAAGATTTATAAAATTTGAGGGCACGTAGTTGGATAGACCTTGCTTCTCATTATCAATACCTGAAGTACAAGTATAAATCATCCACTCTATTTGTATACGCAGGCTATAGGTAAGATGTTTGTAACAATTTACATGCATGGAATCACACCACTTCAGCAATCTGGCTATTTAAGATTAACTGGTAGTCAGTTTTTTTAATTTATTAAATGCTGTAAAAGCACTTCTGCACCAGCAATGTCATGTCATGTGTGTTACTGTGCCTGAGCCAGCAGACAGTACTTCTGATACTGTATAAAATACTTCGGGCAGCTGGTAGCTCATACTCTGTTGTGTCATGTTAAAAGTTTTCTGTTACATTTTTGAGACCTAGATAATATGTAAGTTTGATTGAAATGAAATGTCCTCTGTCTGTAGTTGTGTTTTTCCTGTTGAACTCTGTGTGAAGGTTTAAGAAGGCAATGATGTGTGAACTTGTGTTCACAGCCTTAAGGCACTGGAGGGAAAAGTTTTATGGTATGCAGTAGGAAATATCACTTTGTTTGCGGAAAGGAAAGGTATTACAAATTCTGGGGAGCATTTACTTTGCAATAGCATCGTTTTGCAAATCCTTTCAGCTGCTAATGTGCTTAGAAATGAATTTTTTAATGAACTGTCAATTTTTAATCTTGCAATCCTACTTAGGTGATACTGTCCAATGATAGTGTTCTGTAAATGTAGATAATTTTCCCAAAATGTATCTAATCCAAGAATGATAGTTCTTGCAACTTTAATCAAATGAAGAACATAGACCTACAGATGAGAAAACGTTAGATTAGCTAAGTGTGTTTTCCTGCCAAAGCAGAACTAATTTCCTTGAGTGACACATTTAACATCAGTTACCATAATCTGTGTATGTGTTGATTCTTTCTGCTAGTACTATCTTGTTACTGTCAAATTCCAGCTTGCTTCGGGTGGAGTTTTGCTATCTATATGTTTGACTTTAACTTTTGAATGTGTGCAGAGGAGTTAAGTTTTTCTAAGTGATTTCCTGAGGAATCAAATGGTGCATTCACAGTGCTGTATCTCTGATCACAGAAAACTTACATGGATTTGTGATTCATGTCCTGGCGAAGCTGCCTCAGCAATTTTCAGTTGCTCTTGCTCCCCATGCTGAAATGACTTGTGTTGTTCCAAGAGGCACTTAATTGATGCCATTGTGCATTCGCAGATGATGGTTTGAGGAACCCCCTAGAGGTTTTATAGTAACTCTGTAAAGACAGTCTTGTCTCAAAGATGAAAGTGCTATAATAGTGTATCCCACAGTGGGGTGGCTTCTGTAATTTTTTTTATTATGAAGAAAATAATTACTAATCATCCAACTGAAAAAAAGAGCAAAGTTAAAGGCATTTTCTGCTTTTCTTTCTCCTGCCTGAAATGTCTTTAGTGCTCCACTGTGATTAACCTGTTTTGAGGGTTAGATGGGTACAGCCCCCCACCTAAACAAATTAAAACCCACATCAACTGTGGGTTTGGGAGGAGAAGCTGTAACCTAGACTACTTGTCTGCAGAATCCAGGTGTAATATGGGGATCTAGTTGCTGTTCCTTGAGGTGGGGATACCTTCCACATGTGTGCATTTTGTAGCATGTTCCAGGATGTGGTTAGTTTGCTGGATGATCAGGCCCTGTGCTATTTATTTCGTGCAACACCCTCCACTATTCCCATTTAATGCTATGAGAACACTGCACTGTCAGTGTTGATCAGAAAAGGTCACCCAAAGCCTTGTCTGGTAGGTCCTGAGGTTGTTGCTCCAGGTGGGACAGGATTTATAGGCAGCTGAGTCCCATCTAGGTTTGGACTGATCACAGAAGACAGGTGATTACAAGATGCTAGAGGTTAGGGAGATCAAACCCTAGAGCTTGGGGCTGTTGCTGTGTGGGGTTTTCCTTTCCTTTTGTGGGGATTTTTTGTTAAGCTCAGTTCCAGGGCAGACATAGCCAAATTGTCCACTTGTCCTGGCTTCTTTTGTTGGTATGTATATTCCTGACACAGGACAGCCACTGTGTGATGACCACAGGAGTTACTTGTGCTGCTGCTGTGCAAATACTTAAAAATTAGCACATTTTATAGTCCTTTGAAAAGTTCTGTACATGTTCTTCACCCATATGTGATGTCAAAAGTGGCACTCCCTCAGTATTTATGGAAATGCATTTTATTTTACAGTAAGGCTTTCCCCTGGAGGATGTTACACCATACTCAGAAGGAAAATACTGTGTTGACTCTTTTGTTGACTTGCAAGTGATGTGTAGTAACTCTCCTCTTGCTTCTTGCACTCTGTTTTAACTCCAAACCCTCACCCCTCAAATCTTAGGCAGGGCAGACTCCGTAGCAACTCTTGCACAGTTGCAACTGTTTTAATACGAAAGAAGGTCTGAATGTGTGTGCTAATTTTATAATCTAGCAGGAAAATCAGTTATAAATTTTTTGAAGTATGTGTTAAACTTTTTTGTTCTTATATAGTTTTAAATCCTTAAAATAACTTAATGAATAGTTTTTGAATATTGTTTGTGGATGATGCCAGGTGCTTCTTTATTTAAGCTTTGTGCATTGAATTTCATGATTTTTGCCAGTCATTCGAGGCATTTCTTACTGAAAAGTGGTCTGCTGGCATATTCTAGCGGCTGGAGGAAGGGCATTTGGGTGTTTTTAATATGAACTGACTTATTGATTGTTTCCATAGACATGGTTGCTGTTGCACTTCATCTGGCTGCAAACAAGCAGGGCAGAAGGAAAAGGTCGAAGATCATGTTTAACTTGCAACTCTGAACCGACTTTTTTTCAGTGATAGGTAGATAGAAACTTCAGCTGCGGTGAGCATCAGATTGATATCAGTTCCAACAGTAAAGCCTGAACAAGGCAAAGATTAAGTTTGTAGTAATTTCAAGAACATTAATTTTGATGTTCACCATAAATAGTCTGCCCCTACACTTTCTGCCCCAATGTTACATGGGCAGAAGGGCAGAAGCGCTGCTGGCTCAATGCACATGGTCTTCATATTGTGATTTTTTTAAATTGTTGGCAGTATTGGAAAAGAAAACAGACCAATCTTTTGATAAGAATCATACACATACTGAACAGGAATCAATATGAGGTATCTGCAGCTGAAGTCGTCTAGGAGGTCATGTTTGAATTTGTGAGTAATGGCATGAAGTCCACAAAATTGCTTCATTCTGGTGTTTTGTTGCCTATATTCTTTTTTCCACCCCTATGTATCTACCTTGTAGACGGTGAGATGGCATTAGGTATGTACCAATGATTGATTGTCCTTGAATTCTTCAGACTGGTTGTAAAGATCTGCATGCAAGCTGAAGCACTGCTGTTGAATTCTGCTGTGGTCGTGCGCTGGCATTTCCAACTGCAGTCTTCCAGACTGAAATTCCATTTATTGACATTAGAAATAGTAGTTTAATATAACAAAAATAAACCTTCAGAATCAGTTGGGAGCCAACTTTATATTCTGATCCACAACAGCATTTATACACATGCACAGCTATTAGTTTTAACAGAAGTTGAAGTGCAGTGTCATTCATTGCTAACTCTATGTTCTTAGCTGTTACTCCAGCAAAACAGGGAATTGTGAGCTTGACTAAAACAGAAGTAGACCCCTTAACATTTGTGTACTCTTGAATTGCAGTTTAATCCCCAGATCTTTTATAATGCATGTAAATTATCAGTATTCAGGACACTTTTCTCTGAAGATTACATCATAAATAAATATGCCACTATATTGTTGAAAGTATGTGGAAATTGATAAATAGGAATAAAGGGAAATACTGGTTCGGTCAGTTAGGAGGTGGCACTATAAAAACTGGTCTACTTTAAGGATGATTGGCATTTAAACATCTAAAATAAATATATTTAACTATACACTAGAAGAATCAGTTTATGTATATCTAGCAAAGTTTTACCTTAACACACTGTATGTGAGGTTAAGCAGCTGCCCAAAGACTCTTAAAACATCATCATCATTCTTTATAGAGAGGCACTTGTCAGTTGTTAAGTAATTTTGAGGACTAGGAAAAATTGAAGCTGTGCTATATTTTCAGTTCCACTTTTTCAGTTTTTAGATGACTTTCTGGTAATTCACTTTCGGGAAACAGGTAATAGATTAAAATTTGGAAGCAGACACAACACTTGAATTAATTACCTTAATCTACTCAGCTATTCGTGCAGGAGTAGCAATAAAGAATAAATAACAGGAAGAAAGAGAATTCTTGTTGTAAAATACTTAAAATAGAACAGCTGTGACTGGCTTTATACATACGGAATTTCCAAGCAATTATAAAGTATCTCCTTAAGCCACAGATTTCCTGGCTTTATTGTGGAAAGAGGAAAAGTATTCTTCACCTCTGCTGTAGTCAGGACTTTGCTTTTTTAACTAGGTGCAGCTGAATGATGGGGATTTAATGAATGTACCAGCATGCTGTGGATGGGACTGGAGTGGCCATTGCCAGGCTGCTGACTGTTTCTCTTAACAAGCACCTGATTTAGTATCCTGTGTTACAGTGGAAGTCATGGGCTGTTAGGACAAAATAAAGCCTCCTGTTCTGTTATCAGTGAAAAGTTCCGTCCTTGACTCCAGACAAATGGAAATGTTCATGTGTTGAGTCAGCTTCTGCAGAGTACTGGTATTTTGGGCTGTTTTCATTTAATTCTTTTTTTTCCAATGTGTTCTTAGAAGGATCCTCTCCTCTGTACCCAAAAAGCTGTCCAGGGCTTTGACCTCAGCTGGTATTAACAGTGTAAATTTAGGCTTCATAAGTTTAGGACCCTCTCATAGATTTTTTTCAGTAACCCCACCACTGAGCTAATTATGAATGGCAATAGCAAGAGTTTTACTTAATGAAAAGATCAGAAATAGCAGAAGAAACTCCTCTGGGGCACAGGAGTTATGTCCCATATTTTTATATGACTTAGGATGAAATACTGTTACTATGGCTCTGTGCAGCAGGCTTATGCAATTTATCGTACATTTTGTATTTGTCTCTTGCTTCTGCTGGCATTAAAATTTCTTATCTATTTCTGATAACACTGGGTCAAAACCAGAGAACTTAAAAGGGGAAAATAACCCAGTGGCTTTTGCTTGAAAAAAAAATGGGGCCTGTTGGAAAGAGAACAGCGGTCCAGTGCTTTCATGGGGTCACGACAGTCTTTTTTCTGTTTCATTAAAAAGGTTTCTTTCTTCTGCAGACTGTGATGCTGTGTATTAATGACTTCTGGAAAGTGGCCTTTCTGCCACCCACACTCTGCTGGAGGCACATAAGCTCTTTATGCAGGCATGTAAAGTATGGGGAGGGGGGGTTGGAAGTAGGGAGAAAGGGGTTCAGTTCTCTCTTGAGCTGTCCCTCAAGCTGTTATGTTTATTTTCTGTCATGGTGGTTTCTTTACATACTGGTGGGAAAATGAAGGAGGAGGAAAGTCAAATTTCGAGCAACTAAAACATGTAGTTATCAACAGTGATTTTTGTTGGTTTTGGGTTTGTTTTTTTTTAAGGTAAAATTCTCAAAAAAGTAACTATTTAAAAAACAATGCTGTCTTCATGCATCATACATACATTAACAAAAATCTCGATCTTTAAACATGGGTAGCAGCAGACTCTTAATTTGGTTTCTCTATTCAGGCCTTTTTGTTCTCTGAGAATCCTTTACCAATGTGGTAGAACTACCGTCTGTCTCTCCACTTCCCCATTTAAATCACAGAACAGCTTAACAGAAGGGAGTAACTGCAACTTAAACAAAATTCACTGAAGACTGGTATAGTTTCAGCTATTAAAATGGAAGGACTAAAGTTTGAACAGAAGTGTAAACTTCCTAAAGGACTGTCCTTTCACCAAGAGGTACTGAAACCATAATGCTCATGGATTAAGGGAAAAAATTTCATGATTTAACATTTTGAGGTGAAGTTTCTCCTACATTAAACTGACAAGGGAGTTGCTAGAGACAGTAGTGACCTGTACTTGACAAGGTCTTATTTTCTATTCTCAAAATCTCCACAAAATTATGACTATTGTCTTTTCAAGTGTTCATCACTCTACGAGAAAGGTGAAGTTCTAGTCAAATGGTGTCAGGTGTTAAAGAAGTGTTATTAAAGGCTAAAAATGCTGTATGAACAGTGGAACATGAATGTAATCACTTCCTGAATGTCTTTGATGGATTATTTGTTTAACCATTCAGTAATGCTGGGGAAAATCATAGGTCTTATTTATGAATGCACTTTAGCTGGCTCATTCATTTTAAACAGGCATATGTTATTGTTAGAAAAACCTGCAGATCTGTGCTGCTTCAAGTCCTTTAACTTAGATTAATACTTGTGCGTTTTAGAGAAGTGTCATTAGATACCACAGAGGTAACTCAGAAAACACACCAGAATGCATTCATTAAAAAACCAACCAAACAAAAAAGGCATTTATTTATTGTCTAGTTGTTTATCAGTTAATCTTGGTTAGGCACATATACATTCAAGGTGGAAAGCAGAATCTGGTTTTGGAATGTGATCAAAGAATAAGTTTATTCTCCTCTGGATCATGTAGCACAAACTCTTTAGGAATGAAGGGCATGGATCAAGGATCCTGTCAGGGAGGAAGAAGGGTCAGTCTGGGGATGTTTGTTCTATTCACTGTAGTGTGCTGTTGTACCTGGAATAAAATGCTGTTACTGTAATACTGAACTTCATGATGTTAGTGATCTGATCAATTTAACTTTGGAGAGGAATTATTTATAAAAATTACAACTTTGTATACAGCAATTCTGTTCTTTGGGGATAAAACTATTAAAGATACTTACCTGAATGACACAAATATGTGGTTGATTTTTTTTTATTCTCTTTGATTTCCTGTCAAAGCCAAAAGTACTCAGAGAACACAACTAAATTCTGTTCTCTGTGCTAAGCACCTTTCAGAGTGAAAATGCAGCCACAGACGGAAACCAGGAGGCCACCAAAGCAATCAGCAGTACAAGCAGTGCACCATCCCTCACAAGATGGATAATGGTGTATTTTCTTGGCTTTGCTCCACACCCCTGAGATCGGAACCACTCAGTCACTTCATTCAGGCTGTATTGTTGAGGCTCGTAGCCCAGCTCCTTTCTGGCCTTCTCCATGCTAAAATAATGCGTGACCCCAGTTTTGTAAACCTCTGTGCGAGTGAGGAGGGGCTGAAAATTATAAACATGGCCTACCAGAAGATGAACCACTTCAGTAAGGAATGCAAAAAAATAGACAAGGGAGAGAGGAAGACGACAGGTTGGGAACTTGTAACCCAAACCTTCCACCAGCGGGCGGAAGAATTCGAAGTTATTTACAGGCCTGCCATCTGAAATAAAATAGGCTTGGCCTGCAGCTATGTGCTTTTTGTTGGCTTTGAGGGCCTCGGAGGCAAGGATATGAGCCTGAACCAGATTGTCTACGTGTACAAACTCTACTAAACTAAAAGGATCTCCATATACAAATTTAAACAATCCCCTTTCAATGTAACTAACAATTCTTGGAAGGTGCCTTTGTTCTCCAGGCCCATAGATGCCTGCTGGTCGGAGAGCACAAGTCCTTAGTATACCTTTCCCATGTCCAAGCTCAGCACCATTTGCCTCTAGCACCTTCATTTCAGCTAAAGATTTGGTCCGGGAGTAGTGATCTGGATGAAGGTGAAGAGGTAGATAAGGCAGAGATTCATCCCCATTTTCTATGATCTGGCCTCCAAATATCACGTTGTATGTGCTTGTATAAACCAGACTTGCCACTCCTGTGCTCTTGCAGGCTTGGATGACATTTTCTGTTCCTTTTACATTAATATCTTCTATAAGTTTTCGGTTCAACTGCTCCCTGCCAGACATTCCATAGGAAGCAATATGGAATACACAGATTACGTTTCTAAGAGCCTCTTCCACTTCAGACAGGCAACGGACATCCCCCTCCATGAACTTTATTCCCTCTGGCACAGTCTGAAGTGGCTTCATGACATCAAAGAGAATCACGTCTACTCCCTTTTGGTATATGGCACAGCCTAAACTAAAACATGACAGAAACCATGTGTTAGTATATCTAGCACAATGATGCATGAAATGTTTCACCTGGAGGTGAGATTGTTAACTATTTTAATACTGATTTCTTTTTTCCCTTCTTTTTCTGATGGGAACCTTAAATATTCAGCCATCTACTACAGATTCAACTGTAATACTTCAGGTACTGAATGAACTTCTCATGATCAACAAACTCTGGAGAGAAAAGAAGGGGAAAAAAAAAAGAGAACTGCTGTAAAGGAAAAATCAGAAAAATAACTGAAGTGCTTCCAGCAGCCTTTTGGAAGAACCCAGATATTTCTCTGCTTCTGTCCCCAACAGATCAGCAACAGCAAACCTTTCAGATGTAAATCTGCAGCCAGGTACTTAAATCTTGCTGTTTTTATCTTACTGCTTTTGTGCCATCCCAATTCTGCCACAGCAATAGGTTGGTCTTTGCTGTTGTGTTTGAAACTGATGGAGAAATGAACAAGATGCTTCTATGGTGGTCTGAATACTTTGCCACACATCTAGGTTTTACTCCAAGTCACAGGTATAAACGCAGGTATTGACAAATAGGATAAAACTGGTACTCCTTTCCCACAACCTGTATTTTTATAGCACTTAAATGGGAGACAGTGGAAGAAAAAGCCAAACAGAAGTCGGATCTTGGGGGGGCTGCCACCCAAGACCCACCTTGAAATTTACTTTTTGGTCATGACTGTAATCTCTCACACCAGTGCAAGCGGCTGTAACTCTGAAAGTACTTCAGAATATAGTCTAAGGCTCAAAATAGGGTTTTTTCTTTACATGGCGTGCAGAGCCACCTGCAGTAAGGCAAAAATACATGCCTTATTAACAACTCTAACCCTAAAACATCACTGTCCATAAAAATAAATATATCCTTGACAGCAGATGGAGTATTTAATCCATATAGCTAAGCACGTGTGCAGGCCATGGCTTACTATCAAAAGAAGTGTCTGTATATAGGTGTAGCCTTGCTCAGCACAGTAGGCTGAAAGGTAGTGATTTAAATCCCCATTACAAAGGTGACCACAGAGGTAAATGTCAGCAAGTCAGTTGATGCTTGACATTTGGGAACAGAATAGCATATTTACTTAAAGCAGGTGGAAACAGTAGAACATGTTTGTTTAAAACCGCGATCACAAGAAGATAGGGTGAACTGGATCAGGCATTTTAAGCCCACAGATTTCTCTTTTACAGATGGATTTTGCTGCCTTGCAAGCCGCAATCTTTTACATTTACTCTGGAGTGTAATAATTACTTAACGTACTAACCGGAAGCCAAAATAGCCACCTCCTCCAGTGATGAGTACTGTTTGCTTGGCAGCCTTCTCTGGTTCCATCCTCTTTCCTTGTGCACTATATAAGGAAACTGACCTATAAAACACATTGTAAATATAACACATTAAAAATCAATCAGAGTTTTAATGTTGCTACACATTCTGCTCTTCACAGATCTATTTCATGTTTTATTGAATCCCTTCATTTCACCACCTTGTAGGCGAGGCAGAAATCCATTCTCAAAGGAGAGGTTATATATATGTATACATGTACTACCGATGATGCTGTGAGAAAAGCAAGTTCATATACAACTGCCGCTACAAAGAGTTAACCCTCCTCCCCGGGCCTTGTTCCACCCCCTGTACAGCGGCCGCATGCGGAGCGCTGCGGGCGGGTTGGGCCTTCCCACCGGTGACTGCAGGGCGCGCACAGCCGCGCTGAGGGGCGGAACGGAGCCCCCCGCGCTTGAGAACCGGGCTCAGGGCAGCGGCTCCGCACGGAAGCTCGGCGGCTCCCACCCGTACCTTCTGCTCCGCCGCCGCCTTCCCTCAGCGCCGCGGTGCCGCTGGGCCTCCCGGAAACGGAGTGCAAGGGGCGGGAGCCCCCGCAAGATGGCGGCTGTGCAGTGTGAGGGGGAGTTGTTATGTGGGGATGGGAGGTCTGTCCCTGCGGGCTTGCTCGGTCAGTTGAAGCTTGCCGTGTCAGTTTATGTGCCGGAAAGGTGCTGCAGTCAGCACTGCGTTGTTTTCCCACCACCAAAACCACCTCAGCCTCTGCACTAGGTTACGGGATGCTGGCGTGTGGTGGGTGCGCTATGGAGATGCTTTGTCCCTTCTCTTCCCCGAGGACACTCAACCAGGGCTTGGCTCTCAGCGTGTGGCATTTTAAAGTGGGGAATCTCTGATTGTCTTTGGAGCCTGATCCTGTTCCAGATGTGCCACATCCTGGTGTTTGTGTCCTTCATCAGTGGGTGCCTGCAAGTGTCACCTCAGGGGTGTGAGGTTGGACTGGGACACTTGGGAGAGACCTAGTGGTTACAGAGCCCTTTGAAAACACCTTGAATTGGGTGCTGCGGGTGGGTAGGGCTGTTCCTGATCTTGCTGCTGAACATGAAGGGCCGCGAGGATGATCAGGGGACTGGAGCACCTCCTGTATGAAGACAGGCTGAGGAAGTTGGGGCTGTTCAGCCTGGAGAAGAGAAGGCTGCGTGGAGACCTCATAGCAGCCTTCCAGTATCTGAAGGGGGCCTATAGGGATGCTGGGGAGGGACTCCTCATTAGGGACTGTAGTGACAGGACAAGGGGTAATGGGTTAAAACTTAAACAGGGGAAGTTTATATTGGATATAAGGAAGAAATTCTTTCCTGTGAGGGTGGTGAGGCACTGGAATGGGTTGCCCAGGGAAGCTGTGAATGCTCCATCCCTGGCGGTGTTCAAGACCAGGTTGGACGAAGCCTTGGGTGACATGGTTTAATGTGAGGTGTCCCTGCCCATGGCAGGGGGGTTGGAACGAGATGATCTTAAGGTCCTTTCCAACCCTAACTATTCTATGACTCTATGATTCTATTCTATGACAGTGTGAAGATACCAAATGACCTACCATGCATAGGAGAGCTGTGCTCTTGCAGCATCTTGGGACCATGAGTATGCACCCTTCTGGTGCACCCATCACAAGTACCATGTAACATGCTAGCAGAAATCTTCTGTGCCTCAAGCAGAGGCTGAAATATGGGTAAAATAACCCACAGTGCTGACTGACTGATGCAGAAGTGCTCCTAAGTCAAGAATCAGCAATCCACTGCAAGCTGCATGCGAGAGTGAGCCGTAATAGGAAAACAGTGAAGAATTACACTATCAAAGTCTGCTTTGTGGTATTTTCTTATTTTCTTTCACAGAAGTGTGATTTGCTTGGGGAGTGTGACTCAAAAAGTGGATTCAGTGTCAAATCTGCTTAAAAAGCACAAGTTTCTGTTTGCAAAACCTTGATGGAAGCAAGCACGGTACACAGTGGTTTTATGGTGATTGATGGCTGGCAAGAATTAAAGTGAAGCAGATTCTAAAAAGAATTCTGTGATCCATAAGGATGTTTTTTAGCAATGAATTCTTGCTGGTAAACCTCTGGTGACTCTTAAATAGCTATTTCAAGTGCAGAGCTTGTGCTGTGTAACCTGACTATGCAGAGCTGATGCATCTGTGTAGATGTGCAGGGTGTCTGGTTTGGAGGGTATCCTTCAATCACAGCTGATTTCCGTCTGTATGGGCAGAAGAGGCAGCCTTGAAGCATCCCTTGAAATGCCTTGCAGACATACAGATTGCCTTTGAATGGAACATTGCAGGATTGTGGAATAACTGAGGTTGAAAGGAAATGCTGCTCAAACGGCCTGCACAAAGCAGGTTCAGCCAGAAAGGTTACTTAGGTTGGTATTTAGTATCTCCAAGAATGGAAACTTTTCAGCCACTTTCTCCTTATAGATTATAGAGCTTTGCGCTACCTGAACAGTATCTCTAACCTTGCACTCTGTGTTGTGTAGGTGAATCATAGAATCACAGAATAGTTAGGGTTGGAAGGGACCTTAAAATCATCTAGTTCCAACCCCCCTGCCATGGGCAGGGACACCTCACACTAAACCATATCACCCAAGGCCTTGTCCGACCTGGTCTTGAACACTGCCAGGGATGGAGCATTCACAATCTCCCTGGGCAACCCATTCCAGTGCCTCACCACCCTCACAGGAAAGAATTTCCTTCTTATATCCAATCTAAACTTCCCCTTGTTTAAGTTTTAACCCATTACCCCTTGTCCTGTCACTACAGTCTCTAATGAAGAGTCCCTCCCCAGCATCCCTATGGGCCCCCTTCAGATACTGGAAGGCTGCTATGTGGTCTCCACGCAGCCTTCTCTTCTCCAGGCTGAACAGCCCCAACTTCCTCAGCCTGTCTTGAATAGGCAGATAGGCAGCTGTTAAACTCAGGATGATGTTTTGTCCTTTGTGGTTTGTGGTATGTCCATACAGGACAGTTTGCAGGATTGAGACCTCCCTCTCTTTCTCTCTGCATTCTGCTTTTTCTTGCTTTCTGCCTGGTATGTTAGCCACAGTGAGTGATTTGTGTCAGATAATGTCAGAGTAAATAATGTGAATATAATAAAGCTGTAGTTAAGATACAGTAAAGCTTCTGCTCATAAGCCACTATCAGTTTTATTTCTCATTATAGTAAATAGTCCTTTTTGTCTTCAAATTATAGTAAGGAACATTCATTCCTTCAAAGTGGTGACACCAGTGAAAGCTGTGGTTAAATAGTGTCCTCATTTTACATTGACAGATTTGATGTGAAGATGCGAAGACTTGAGACTTGACACTCTCGGATCTCATCATTCTGCACAACCCATTTGTTCGTGCTCTCTCATTTCCTGTGGGAACCTGCTTTTCCCAAGACTTTATGGACTTTCTGAATGTGTCAGAAATTCTGTATTGCCATCAAATAAGTGGACTTCCAGCTTTACTTTATATATAATAGAGCATTTGTCCTGAGTTTTGTTGTTTCAGGTTTTTTTTTTCCCAACACGGAAACCTGGTCTCTGCTACCAATTTTCACTTTAAAGAACCAGGAGTTTTGGAGGATGCCTTGCATATGTCCCAGCGTGCAGGGAATCAAACTATATTACAGCCACTTGAAGAAATCAGATTGAGACTTGTGCCCTAGGGCAAGATGTGTGAGGACAGAAGCATTTGCAGTGTAAATGGTGGGGCGGGAGTGTGTGTTTATCTTAGTTGCAATTCGCCTGAAATAGGCTGCAAATAAATCCTTAAATCAGCAACTAAAAAGCTAGGTAAGCCGCTGTAGTGAACAATGCAAGTTAGAAGCGATGAGCAATGAGGTCGTTAATTATTGTTTCATAGTATGTTAGTTCATTTGGTTCCATTTGCAGTTTAAAATACTTAGCTGGTAAAATGATTTTTGTCATCAAAATACAAAGCATGCCCAGAGTAATTTCTTGGGAAGCAGGGCAATATTTCATCTGGAGAAATACACTTCAGTCTACTGGTTTTGTATTTTTGATTGATTTCTTTTGGTATTACTTAATTGTGCTTTTCTTCATTGAGCAATGTGACAAGAGAAGGGGAAACAACTTAAACTAGGTCAGAACTAACTACATTAGTGGTCTGACTAAAATGTTTAAAACCAATTGGTGACAATAGTACTAAGAAAGTACAAACAGCAACTACATTGTGAATGGAGGTACAGAGAATTGTAATTTCTAAATTAGAATCTTCATTCAACCTAGATTAGACTAGAATATTTTTAAAGGAGGACAGGGTTATGGATAATAACATTAGTCTGAGTTTTATTCTTGGGTCTGACAGAAGTTTCCTGAGTGACCTTCAGATCATCAATTTGTGTATCAATGGTGGCATTGCACTTCTTCACTTTCCAAGGTTGTGGTGGTGCTTGATTTATTTGTGTTTCTGATGCTTGAATTGTAGGTGCTGTACAAGTATCAATAAACAAGGAAATCAGTAGTATGGGGCTTAAAGAGTTTATGCAGGTATGCAGGTTAGACCCTCTGAAAATATAACATTGACTTCTTCTTAGGACACCCATTCACTGTACAGCATTGCTTGTGTAAACTGTCACATGTTTGGTGATGCAGAGACAACAAAACAAAGTTTCTTTTTCACATGAGTTCCAGAAATGGAAAAACTTAGCCTATCTCTTCCACACTAAGAAAGAAAAAGGATTTCAGCGTTAGTTGTATTCACTGTTTAGTGAACACCGTTCACTAAGGCTGAGTCAAATTGTTCATCTGAACAGATGTTTTGTATAATTTTCCTAGTCTAATTCTTCTGTGTTTTCTCATTTTAAGAAATACGACTTTATAGGCATTTCTAGTCCTGACTAGAAGGAGGTGCATGGAGTAGTGAATTCCTTATCAAAACTGGAATTCACAAAAATGGAAGTTAGTTTCTACTCAACAGAGCTCTTGCAAAGGGCAGAGAATTTGATTGTAGAGAATTTTGAGATCATTGGGTGAAGGAAGAAGTGTGGTGTGTGTTGCATTGAGGATGTGCGGGCTTTGCTGTATCATTCTTCCAGTCTTGTTTCGTTTAGGTTTGAGATCATCTTGAATGGGGATGCAGGTTTTGGGGGGAATGTTAATGTGTTGCTAGATTTTCATACACGTCCAGAAGCAAGATCCAACTAAGATTCCATGGAGGGACTTGGATGTGACGCTGGCAGCAGCAGTTCAGGGCCCTGCTTACACGTTCTTGTCCCACCTCATTTGGTTAAGGCAGCTCTGCTCGAAGCTGTACACAGTGAGGAGCCTTCCACAGCCTCCTGTCACCAGTCAATGGCAGCATCTTGGGTCTGTGGTGCTGGGTGCAGAAGAGTGCCATCAGCTCTTCAGAAGGCACAAACTGCTCAATCTTTGGCTGTTTTCACCACAGAAGATCAGGTTGGGTGGAAATACTGAGCAGTTGCCAGCTGAACCAGCTTCTGAAAAGTGTCTGGATGATTCCTTTTGCAGTTGTGTATTCTTCAGTGTGATCTGAGAGAGGGTGCTGTTGTACCATGGTGCTGGTGGAGCACAGATACCTGACAGTTTTAGCATTA